ATCCTGCATCTTGTCGATGTCCTTCTCGGTGACCTTCTTGTCGGCGGAATCGGGCTGCGTACCATTTGCTGCTGCTGCTTCTCTCTCCTCTTCACTGTGCTCAACAATCATGTTTCCCTTGAGAGCTTCCCTCAAGATGGGCGTCTCTTCATCTTTCTTTTTGGCGAATGCAGCGTCATCGCTCGTGGCGTCGCCGTCGCCCAGTCTGTCTGTTTTAACGTCTTTGCCCATGCCAGATTCTTCGAGCCAGCCTTGTTCGGTTTGCTTGCGCTGAATCTTGCGGTCTTTGGACTGCTTGCGTTGCGTGGAGCTGGCGCGGAGGAATTTGCGTTGCCCGGTACTGTGATGGAGGTGCTGCATACCAGGAAAGTAGTCAGAGTCATCTGAGAAGCCTTCACCAGCCTGCATGGGCTGTAGGTGACGTAGAATAGCAGTAGTTCGCGGTTGTGCGTGATTGTTAGACCTCGATGCCAGAGGTGCATTGTCCCCCTCTTCGCTACTGGAAGCATCGTTCGAGGCATCGTTTGGTGACGCGGGTGTTGGCGGCATAGCGGGAATGGCTGTACCTTTGGCTGTTTGCTTTCGCAATAGCTTGGCTGGCGATGGCTCATTGATGACGGGAGCGTGATCAGCTTCTTGGGCTACAATCGGGTGGTCTTCTTGCTCGCTTTCTAATGGCTCCATATGTTGTGTGGCAGTCGAAGCGGTCTGCTGAGAACCTTGTCCAAGATACTCCATCGTGTTCTTTCGCATTGGACGACGAGGGTAATTGATTTTGTCATGGTTGCATCCATTGACACATCCCCCCCAGCGTCGAATGGGCACGGTGGGAGATGAGGTAGACCCAGCCTGGTTGAGATTGCTCAACGACGTGTTTCTGCTTGGTGTGGCAGCCGTGGCGCTCTTTGGTTGTTCCTCTTTCTCTTTGGCAGCCCTGCGTTTGAGTTCGGACCATGTTCGCAGCTCGTTCTGGAGGATATATCGGCCGTTGTTCTCGCTTCTCTTCATTATGATAAATTCACAGTGGTTTACGTTCCGGAGGTCCTCAAAGTACTCGACAGACCAGTGATACCTGCAGCAAGTCAGTATGTTTCCCTCTTTGTACTGCGTAAGTTGGGCACTCACCATTTCATGAGAAATACCCTGGACATCAGTCCATGCGTAACCAATACGCACACGCTAGGAAAGTTGTCGTCTCCAAATGATCTCCACAGGCTTTCGTTAAAGCCACTGACGCGGTCATAAGCATCTGCCGCGCTCTCTCCATCGGGTATGCGGTAGAAGAAATGCCCATAATCAGCCCTCTCCTGCCACATGCGCTCCATTTCTGCCGAACATGGCTGGAAGTTGCCAAAATCTTGTTCTCGTATCCTTGGCTCCTCGAAGACGGTAATCTTGTTGCGGGGGAAGGGCGAGGGGGTGGGGTCGTCCGAGGTCAAGGTGCGGAGGATGCCCTCTGTAGTCTCGCGAGTCCGGCGGTAGGGCGAGGTGTAGAACTGGAGGGTATCGTCTGGCTTGAGCATAGAGCGGAGCTGGCGTCCAGCTTCTTCTGCCTATGGCGGTCTGGAGTCAGTCGTGAAGCGTCTCAAGCCATGCGATGAGGACGGCATACCTGAGTCCAGCCATGCTGGGTCAGTTTGACCCTATGGTCTGGTATGAACTGGTGGATATCACGGTTCTTGTTTCCCTCTGATTGCGCATGGCGAATCAGAATGATCATCTACGGAAGAGTCAGGCGCTGAGGGCGGTCGTGGTGGTAAAGTGGACCTACGCGGGGTTTCCCCATGTTGGCGTGGGATGTTCGGGTGTCAGCACTTGCAGTCTCTGGGAATAATGGGCGTGTGGTGGGAAATGTTCAGCCTGTATAAGCTTCAGGCAGGAACAGATACTGTGTAGAGGGGCAGAGAAATAGGCGATATTGCGTGTTTCATGTGGTGCTGCAAGCCCAAGAATGGCGGCGACTTCGCAGGCGCATGTGGCACTTCTAGTGCGCCGTAGCCAGGCACCTAGCGCGCCATCCCGACTCGCATCAACGTTTGATAATATTTCCACGACACTGCGTTCTCACTGCGCTCTGCCCAAATCACCCATCACATTTTTGCGCGTCATCCCTCCGCAGTCGCGCAAGGTTGCCGGTCACGTGTGTATATTCTGGTACTCTGATTTCTACGCAACGCCGCCTGCGCCAGGCATATCCATCCTCACCTGCAAACACAATGTCCGAGCCCATCCCAGAGGCTATACCCACATCCGCCGACCCGCGCTCGAAACGGCCAGTGAAGAAACGCGCCCTCACTCCCCGTACAGAGCAAGCCTCCCAGGTCGAAGCCCTGTTCGCAAAGCCTGACCGCGAAATCCACATCCCAGGCTCCGGCGCAATTGCCAAGACTTCCTCTCTGCCCCCAGAAATTGTCGCAAATGTCCAAGGTTCAAGCGCCGGTGCAGGTAGTGGCGAGTTTCATGTCTACAAGGCGAGCCGGCGGCGCGAGTATGAGAGACTGCGCGCCATGGACGAAGAGGTGAAGAAGGAGGAAGACGAGAAGGAGTTTGCCAAGCGGAAAGAAGAGTTGGAGAAGAAGGACAAGGAAAAGACGGAGAAGAACAGGCTAAAGCGGGAAAAGGCAAGGCAAAGAAAGGAAAAGGCGAAGAAAGGCGGCAAGGGTGGAGATGGCGACGCCAAGGACGGTACAACCGGTGCGGAGCAAGCAAAGAAGAAGCTGGCCCCGAATGCAAACGTACCCAAGAATAGCGCCGACGACGATGCAGACACACGCAATGATGGGGCTGAGGTGGTCAAGAATGTTGAAGAGATCGGCTTGATCATTGAAGACGACGACTGATCTGCGTACTATACCAAATGTCTGTGGCTAAGGACGCGTGCTAAAATTAGCACTACTAAACTTCATCAAGAGCTGATGGAGACTACGTCTGCATACTGTACACGGCTTTCAAGGTGCGGCTATGCATGCCACGAAGCATTCCCAGTGCTGACCATGATCTACACATATAGCCTTGCTAATTCTTTAATCCAATGACAATTACCCGGCATTCATCTCCCCTCAACCAATGCCTCTAACTGGTGCCCCAACTCATCCCTCCAACGCTCGGCCTGATTAAGTGGGCATGTAAAACTGCCGATTTTCGGCATTTGCTCTATCCATCCGGCCCATTTTGCCACTTTTTGTAGTCAGAAAACTACAGTACACAGCTCTGCGGATTTTGCCGTTTTGATTACTCAAGATATATGCATCACGTCAAGATCGCTTCATATATTCTCGACATGTTCGGCCTTGTGCAAGTTTTCGGCGGCTTGGGATGATGCGTTGGTACTCTACCAGTACAATGGGAGTGTAAACTTGTTGATCTCTGCACAAAGCAAAAATAACAAGGCTGATCCTTCCGCCTATGACGAAGCTTGACCTGTTGCTTGACATTAAGGCTATGCCCACTATTCCTTGGGCCTGCATGCCAAGGACATGACCACAGCAATGCCGCCTTCTCGCCCGCCGTCTTACGCCTCTTAAATTGTAAGACTACGAACTTACTCTATGTAGATTCCTACTGTATTAGTATTTAGCTATGCTTCTAGTAAGATTGCCATCTTGCAAATGTTTGAGGTTGAACCTGAAATGGGTTTCACAACAGCTGCATTTCTGATGCTGGCACAGGCTTCTCGGGACACGGGCTTCTATTACAAAAAGAAACGGATTCCTGGCGAATGAGGCTTGGGAAAACTTGAAATGTCAGGATCCTATTTCCCGCCTGTCAAACTATCTCGTTGGTCAAACCTGGCCGGATTTAATCGGGTACTTGGCTAACGTGGGTCATACCCTGACAGCTGGACGTGCCCTTGGCCGGATCTCGACGGTCCGAGAGCCAATTAGGCACGACCCCTGCCGGATATGACATCAAAAAAGAGTGTGAATACCTATTCGGTTACATGCAACCGTCATTGCTATTGGGCGGCTTGTAGGTAAAGTACGTTTCATCTTGGAATGCAGGTTTTCACACACGCCGGAACATGCAGGGAACCCTTGCAAAATAACAAGAGCTACATTTGTTAGCTTTCTATACCAAAAACGACCTTCCCATATCAAACTTTTAGACAGCTATCTCACCCATTCGTAGCAGACCTTTTTCATGAGTTATCATGGTTTTCTGCCATAGAGTCATATGCTATCAAACATATCTTTAAGATGCTTAAGACTGTGTTATCTTGTTTAGTCGCATTGTAGTAAGGATATAAGCGAAAGTAAGCAAGAAGAACTTGTCTTCTTTTTAGCACTAAAATACTTACAAGTTAAGACTATTATATTCCGAACTGACTGCAAAATATCCGTAATACACCTAGTCGTGATCCCAGCAAGTTCCATTGTACTTATGTGCCAGTTGGCGGCAGTGTAGGACTGACCCCCGACCCAGTTCTTTGGCACAAGCCCAGGACTTCGGCGCTACATGGGGTGCACGGTGAAGAGAATCCACCCAATCGAGTTCCTGGGTGACAAGACGTCTCACCTGCCGCAGCTCATCCGCAGCACATGCCAACGTAATCGTTCTGCTGCCCAAATCTTGGCCTCACAGCCCAGCAAGCGGAAAGAATCTCCGGAATTTAGGTATCACCAGTCGCTCGTTTCTTGGCTTTGGCCAAGGCGTTACAAGTGCCATGTCTTCATTCACTGCACAGCGCAAGCCGTGGACGGGACGCGCGGAGTAGGGGACTCCGCTCTAATGGCAGCGATTATCCAGGTACACGTATGCAAATGAACGTGAAGACTGAGGAGGGATCATCATGAAGAGTATAGAGAAATTGAGTATAAAGGCACATGGCTTCAGCACTTCTGGAAGAGCCATCACCATCAGTGAACAACAACTCACTTCTACAATCAATCCTTTGACTATCAAATAACAATCATTTGTATCACTATCAATCATGAGGTCCACCTTTCTTATCCTCATGGCCGCTGGGTACATCACTCCCCTCTCTTTTCAATATTCATCTCAATATATCTTCCTAATTACCAACTCTTGGTTCAATAGCTAACACTGACATAGTGCCCTCGCTGCACCTCTGATTGTTGAGCGCCAGAATCCTCCTCCCCCACCGGATGGTACCATTCCTCCACCACCACCACCAGACACTGGTGCTCCTCCACCGCCACCACCCGCTGGCGCTCCCCTTCCACCTCCACCTCCACCAGATACTGGTGTCCCTCCACCACCACCGCCAGGAGGTGGTCGAGGTGGCCGAGGTGGTGGTCGCGGAGGTCGTGGAGGAAGAGGAGGCGGCCGAGGAGGAGGAGCAGTCGGTGGTCCTCCTCCTCCTCCTCCTCCACCACCACCAGTTGCTGGTGCTCCTCCTCCACCGCCACCAGTCGCTGGTACTCCTCCTCCTCCTCCACCACCAGTTGCTGGTNCCACCACCAGTTGCTGGTGCTCCTCCTCCACCGCCACCAGTTGCTGGTACTCCTCCACCTCCTCCTCCACCAGTCGATGGTGCTCCTCCTCCACCTCCACCAGTCGCTGGTACTCCTCCACCTCCTCCTCCTCCAGTCGATGGTGCTCCTCCTCCACCGCCACCAGTCGCTGGTACTCCTCCTCCTCCACCTCCACCAGTCGACGGTACTCCTCCTCCACCTCCCCCTGCTCGCAGCTAGGTTGAATTCGCCCTTCACTGCCACTCGGGCACCACCATCTCAACGCGATACGGCGTTCTTGGCGAAAGTCTCAGTTTGCAATGAGTTTGGACTATCAATCTAGGTCAGTGGTCATTTTTGGCTAGGATCTTGTAGTAGGGACGCGCAAATTGGAGCTTTTATGACTATGATATACCTGGCTCGAGACTGGATTGTATCAATGAATTTCCTTCGTTTTTGAAGCTATCGCAGAGGCGAATGCCATTCTGTATGATCACGAATCTTTTCGTCTAGTACTGGTTTCTTTAGAAAATAAAAAACTTACATATTCACTATGGCTTCTGAATGATTGGGTAGTATGTTTGTCTATGGTAATGCATGCTATTCATGCCATATGCCAAATATTGATCTTCTATGGTCGTTCATGAGGTCACCCTGTTCTCCACATTTCCCCACCCACTGAACTATAATCCTTGCGGATCATATGACCGACTTTAAACACATCCCCCATGAAACACATGAGTCATTTTCCTTTCCCAACCATTGTCTTGCCCAATCTATCGAGCACCAACTACTCAACAATTCTCAAGTAGGAGTTGGAAGAAGGGGAAGTGAAAAGGCGATGTCAATCACTCCACCTTTTCCCCCCAGCCCAGAGTTTTACCTCCTGCAAGCATTGGAAATGGCTGCACCAAAGCCGGTCGGCATTGTGGAGACAGGAGATTTTTAACCTATTATGCAGGCACGGCCCGGCAGAGTTGGCGGCTTTTTATCATCTCACCAATCACAGTGCAAATCAACCCCCAATTCTCATGCGGGAAATGACGAATGGGAATCTATTGTAACAAGAGCTCCATTTACGCTCGACACAAGCTTGAAATCGTGCATCTTTGTAAATGACGATCGATGGCTTGGCAACACGATCTGCGGGGCTTAGAATAATGATGGGGACGTTGTGTGGTGGCAGGTAGATGGTGTATTTGATGCCTTTCTTGTGTAACACCTCAATTTGGTACAGTTCAGTGTCAATGGCATCTCAGCCCTTACTTCAACTGACTGGCACTCATTTAGCAGACGAAATTGTCATTTTTCCCGGTGCATTTCATGTTTATTTCGTCTTGGCAATGGCGTCACCTGAACCTTGTGAGTAGCAATGCACAAAACGCATCTTTGTATATTGATGTGAGCTCATGTATCATCATGTGTAAATGCATCACGCCTTATATCACCTCACTACACAAAGAGCTACCTTCTGTACTGGATTGGCCTATCTCATCTCCTGGGACAACAAAAAAGGCTAAACCGGCCTGTCGCAATAGTCTAGGCCGCACCACCTTTTCAAATGATAGATTGAAAGTGCAGCTGTCTCGATTTTAATTCTCCGCGCACAGGAGAGTTCTTCCCTCTGCATCAGTTGTGACGCAACTACGAAGAAGCAACTGCCGAGGGGGCTTGGGCAAACGCTTGGTTGCCAATCCTTTTCCACCGTGTCCGCCATCGTTCGTCTCTGATAATGGTTGTACAAAGACCCTCGATCTGGCCTCCTACCTTGACCATATTTGCAATTGATTGACGTCTAATTGCAGTGACCTGGCACAGCATCTCCCAACAGAATATTTACACAACGTCATTTGCTTTCAAAAGGCACACCGGCCAGCGATCTCGGCAGGGAGGCCAATTTACTCAAGTCTGAGCTTGATGGACTCATCAATCACGACATCTTGGATACCAAATCTGCGATATTAGCCTTTCATCTATCCGAACTTGCTTTTGGATAGATCGACGTGCAATCACTTTACACTGGGCGACTGGCAGCCAGGAACATGAATTCTCCTGAGTACCTTTGGGAAGAAAATATACACAATGAAAGTTGTATAAAGAGCACCATCTCAGTACCATCTTCTTTCACCACCATCAAGCTTCTCCAGCTATCTCCACTATCACTTGCCTTCTACTACAACCACTTTCTCGATTCTCAACCATGAAGTTCGCAACTATCCTCTTCCTGGCCACCAGGTACATCCCTACCACCTTACCCCTCCCCCTCCACTAACACTCTCAGCGCCCTCGCCGCCCCCGTCGTCGAACGCCAAGTTTCTCCCCCGACCGGTCTCCCGCCCCGACCAACGGGTGTCCGCCCAACCCCTTCGGCGCCCCCCGGTGGCACTCCCCCTGCCTTCCCAACCGGCTTCCCACCGCGCCCTACAGGCCCCGTGCCTACAGGCTTTCCTCCACTCCCTACTGGCGGCTTCCCTGGCGGCGGTGCACCTCCATTCCCCCCGCCAAGCGGCGTGCCTTCGTTTCCTCCGGGCGGCTTTCCTGGATTTCCTACTGGTGGGGCTCCGCCGAGACCTACGGGCGCCCCTCCTGCTTTTTGTAAGTTCTTTTTCCTTTCTAAAGGATGTGCAAGGGGATAGGTCAGGCTGATTTTTTGGGCAGCATCGATTCCGCCTAGGCCGTCGCCTGTTGCGCCACCCCAGTAGATGGGGATTTGGAATCGGTGAAGGAAGGTTTAGTGCCCAGCAAGGACATGATTGGAGGTTTGGGGTTTTTGTAAATATGCTCTAGGGTAGGAGATCGGTGACTTTGTTGAAATTGAAATTACGGGATTTATTCTTTGAATGCTTGTCTACATGTGTACACCTAGTTCTTTTTTTTTCAGTATTTTGAAAGCCCTGGACACACTTTCTATTATGATTTTGTTGTTCGAGTCTTCTCTTCGAAGTCATCCCGAAACTCTCACAGCACCCCCAGTATCCCACTTGTAAAGCACTCTAATCTCAGATTGGAAAGCGGCATTTCAAACGACAGACAAGGCCTCCGAAACTACGGTCTTTATCTAATTTGGACATTACACATTTCCGAAAGTTGTAACGTGCCCGTACGTGTGTCTTGTGGCCCTGGGTCGCGTGAAACCGTGCCGTTATGGTGCCAAGTAGAGATATTACTGAATATTCTTCGATACTCACGCTTTGGAAGGAGTTACTCCAATCGATCTGCCGATCGTTGATATTTTGCACCATTCGGTACTTATTTGACGTAATATAGGCTGATCAAAGGTTTATCGTGAAAAGGCGAGGGCTACTGATGTGCTGCTACATGGACTTAACTTTCTATCTTATCCCCTTCCCTACCGAGTTCTTGGCCTTAAGCTCGGAAGAACGGATATGACTAGTATGTAGTAAATTCGGCTCATCTATGTGGCGCCATATGTAGTCATCTTCCCTGTAGCATACGGGATATAGTGAGGCTCCCTCGCCATCCGCTTCACTATTTGCTGTAATTGCTGCCCTAGTCAATGCATATTTCCTTGCCTCAAGCTCCGATTGGAGTCTGTTCGGGCAGAGAGCACAAGTATACTAACGCCCCTGGTGAAACTGCCAAGCATGGTATAGTAACTCTGATGGCCGTAACGCGGCCACTTGGCGCAGCATCGGGCTAAATTCTGGAAAGCTGTGGTGGTATTACATATTGCCACCATATGGCGTGATGGTGCGACTTGATTTACAAGGGCCAGGGCATTCGTCCGGTTGGAGTTGGAACAGAGTAAATGAAGCGGGGTCGGCAGGCAAGGTGGGGGCGGAGCGGCAGCGGGGTCGTCGGTGTTACGTACTTACACGGTAGATGGAAAAACTACGGCAGTCAACCTTGTTGAATTCATACTCGGGGGTCCCGGGTTTATTCTCACGTGAATATTGTTGATGATGAAGGGCAGTCTGACGAGACAAGAATAAGCTTTACCACCTGCACACCTGCGACAAAACAGACATGGCTCACGTGAAACTTGGCGATCTCCAAGTTGGAGAATCATCAAATTCCCTCAGGGAAACTGAGACGGAAGTAACAGGCGAACAAAAAGTCCAAGTAAACGAACTTTGTTTTCTCGATCGCCCATGGTTGTATCCCGAGCGACTAGTCTTCACAAGTCTCGCTTACGCGCAACTACAAACTTCCAGATATTGTGAGATGCAGTAGGTTTCAGTCAATAACACTGGAGAAGTGTTGTTCTCGATAACGTGGATAGTTTTTTTCTTTCAATGATGCATACATCATGGCTCAGATCTGGAGTGTTTGATGTGACCAAGACGTAAGTGCGTGCTATAATGCGCGTGATGTGCGCGACTGCTTTCTGCTAGAGCAAACTGAATCCCATCCCATTGTAGTAGTCATAGCAAGACAGTCGCGTTGGAAAATGGCACACGATTATGTGCTTACCATAGTGGCTTCTAAAGTGTACCAAATATACCAAATAACATCGGATCCTGCCGAAGAGGCGCAGCTGACGGCTCAGCCTCCATGGCATTTCCCCACCTTTCGCTAAGATCTTACGACGCCCAGAACAGGCCACCAATCGAAGACGGACGCCACATGCAAAGAACATCAGCTCGAGAATAAATATAGCGATTGTTTTTCGCTTCTTTGACCAATGAAGAGTCAGCTGACACCGTCGCAGCTGTGAATGAGGGTTGGAAATATGAGCAGACACTAACCAATTTTGGCAACAACTTGAGACTATACCAAATGCGCTGGCAAAGATGATGCTTACAGTATCAACTATATGGTAAGGCTAGCCATTCAGAAAGCGGTCTGCTTGACCGTTTCTCATACGCCCTTCAGAGTAATACGGTATACAGCCTCCACCAAAAGTGAGACTTGACAAGAATGATGGCGCACTAAGAAGTTGAATGACACGAGAGAAACAAAAAATGTGAGCAAAGCTGAGCGCAGCTGTGAGTAGGGTACCAGCTTTGCTGACTGCTATTCTTGCGGTGTAACACTGAGGCATTGCTAAGGCAAAGCCATCGATGAATTTCCAATATGCCACACCGAAGCTGTACGAACAGAAAGAAGTATAAGAGAGACAACTTCTACGTGGAATAGGGAATCATCTCACAACACATTCCAACACAGCTTCTACAACAAGAACAACTTTCTTATCATCTTCCATTTCCAATCTTCAAATCCTCTCTCTTCAACTTTTCACCAAACACCACTTCCAACCATCAAAATGAAGGCCTCCATGATCATCTCTTCCGCTGCTCTCTTCTTCGCCAGCGCTCTCGCCGCTCCAGCGACTGCCCGCTCTGCTTCCCCCGTTTTCACAGTCCAACTCGCCAACGACATCTCTGGCAAGAACGCCAACGCCGATGTCCCCGTCAACGGTGGAGCCCGTACATTCGGTCAGCTCTTCGGTGCAGCTTTTGGCCCCAAGGTCCTCGCTACCTCAATTCAAGCCGTGAGCCCCGGTGCCGGCGGCAACAACGTGCAGTGCGTCCTCATTGACCCTGCCGCCCCAGCCTTCGGTGTGGTCCTCAACTCCTGGAACACCTTTGTCGACCTCGACGGCAACGTCGACAAGGCTATTGAGACCGATGTTACTGCTTTCACTATCGAGTGCATCTTGTAGATGGATGGCTAAATGATGGAGCATAGAGATGGGGGGCTGGTGATGATCTTTGAGGACATTCCTTTTGAGTAGCATTTGTTTTGCATAGCGCCTTGGTGTTTTTTGTCTTTTGCTCCGAATCTTTACATTCCTTGGATGTTTATAAGAATCATTAGTAGTTAATATCATTCCTTTGCGAGTTTCTGCAGGACTCTTACACATAACTCCCATATTATCCTTGACTTTTGTGAAAGATAAACAACTAAGAAATCAGTGAAGCCTACGCACCAAAACATATGACAAAGAGAATATCCTCCATCAGGTAAAACCATCTTTACTCGCCACTACTCGTCTTAGCTAGCTACACAGTGAAAATCCTATTCTCATGGCTGATCCACTAGACGGACATGGGACATTGTCAAATTGGACATTGGTAATCAGAGCGGTACAGGAACATACAGGCAATGTGCCTTATCTCAACAATCCGTGCTTCAGTGAAGCAAAGCGTGGTGATATATTTACTGACGAAGAAAAGACTATTCACAGAAGCAACAAATATTCACAAGAACAAAACTGAATCCCAGTTTTCATATCATATCATGCGTTGCAGCTAGCTGCAAAGTCATGCCATGGCTTGAACATCCTAGTAAGCTTAGCCAGAGCAAACACCAGCCTTCTTTGGCTCGCAACCACCAGCACAACCAGTATACATCTGGCACTTGACCTGTGCATCAGAGCAGACGTTTCTCAGGGTAGCGGTGTCGCCGTAGTTGCTATTGATACCGGCCAACTCGTTTCCTTTGACGGCAGTAACACCCTCGATGTAAACGTTACGCTTGCATTGCGTGGAGCACTATTTGATTGATCAGTTATAGTTCTATTGGAATTCTAAATAGACCAAAAAGACTTACGTTTCCGCAAGAGCGGTAAAGCTTGCCGTAGTTGTTGACATAAAAGTTGATAATGTTAACGGTACCGCAGCCGTTGTGCTGAACAACCTTGTCTGAGGCGTGGTAGGCACCACCACCAATAATCCAAGATTCCTTGCCCGGCTTGTCGGACTTAATGGAGATGGCGTCCTCACAGACGTCTTCGAACCAGACAAACTCGAGACGGCAATGGCCCTGGCAATGAACACCTTCGGCCTGAGACAAATTAATTGATGTCCTCTCTGCTGTTTTTCTCGCATGAGACTCACCTGGTTCTTGCCAATGATTACGTTGCGGAGAGTTGCACCCTCCTTTAGCAAGAATACAGCGTCTGAAGCTCCTCCCTCGGTCTGACCGTTGCAGGCACCGCTACCACGATCATACCTATACCATTTACCATCAAAGGTCTGGCCAGCTGCGATCTCAATGACCTTGCTGTTGGTCTTGGTACCGACAGCGGTAGGTACACCTCCAGTGTGTCCATTGCAGGCAAGAGCAGTAGGAAGGAGAGCTGTAACGGCAGCAACAAATCTGGCAAATCTCATGTTGAAAATGAAGTAGAGATGTTATGCTAATCCAGAAAGTGAATGAACTTTGAGTTAACGAAGGGCGTTAGAAAAGCTTTAAAGATAAACCGACTGTGCTAAGAGGTGGCAGACTTAGCCGGCGGGTCTTCATGCGTATTTCCAAGTAGCTGATCATCGCTCTGCCACCTTCCTACCTCATCTTCGCCAGACCTACGATTGAGGCCTCCTCAAGACCTCTAGTCTACCTATCTTACCAGACCAGGAGCTCCACCCTTTGTTTCCCCACAGTTCATTCGCGGAACTCCACATGGTTGTCGTACTCTCTTGGCAGTGGACCCTCCGCCCGACGCTACAGTGCTGCCAAGGAAACGACTGATCTTAGGGGTTGTATTCCAAGATCTGCAAAAAACAGAACACTGGACCACCTTGCGGTTATACTAGTGTGACGTCTGTACAAATGCATAGCTGAGTGCTGCGAACATTCCATCACCCTATCTTCGGACAATTTAATCCACCAACCGCCATTTGCAACTTTGCATGTTCATGCAGATGGTTCAAGTAGGTATTCACAAAAGAAGGTTGAAGGATGCTACAATACTACAGAAGTCTTGGACATCATCAAAGTAAAACAAAAGGCTGGCGGACTTTGAGAAGGCACATATTACATGCCAACCATGGACGAATCTCATGATTCAAAAAACTGCATCAAATATGATTCACTTAGGTTTACAACTCAACTCAGTCTATGTTTTCAGCCAAGAGTTCCGGAATACTACGCAGATCAGGCTTGCTGGTCCACACAAGGGCACCACTTGCACCAAAGCCAACTACTGGCCGTAATTACTCCAATACATTCGCATGTGAGTATGTAAGTAATCTCTGGGCTCTGTAAGTCAAGGCTTCCAAGAATGAGCATGGCGTATGATTCAAACATGCATGCAGTAGTCAATATCATAGGTGCGACAACGTTTCGTAACAGTACAACTAAGATGATAGGAAATCTCACGTCATATGACCAAAATATCATAGCTGTTTGTAAAGCATCTTCATGGGATGAATGAATCGCATATGATTTCTCCTTTGTGACATGGCATGAGCAATCCCTAGTCACATCACATGACTTTCTTCACTGGGGGGACATCAATTCTACAGTCTCGAGAGACAAGATTGGTCCACAAAGTAGATAACACAATCAAAGTATTTGCAAAATTTTATCAGCTCATCCTCGTTCATCTTGATCCCCACCTTTTGGCGCTCCTTCCTATCACATGGCGACTATCTCAGTGGACAGAAAGGTAACTAGCACTATGGGGATGCATTTTTGGGTGCATTGTGACTTGCGTGCAGCACATTGCATTAGCTTCGAGTACTCCAGGTTTCGAAGAAAACGTGCCAAATGCTTGGACGAATACGGAACAATATCGAGGTTCCCCAGAATTTCCACGAATGAGCAAGCGGACAACTATCGTAGGTGTATATCTGATCACATTGCTACTACATCGTTGTCTAGACCTTCGAATAATGGGTAACTCAGTGCTTACAACTCAGTTGACTGATAGTCAAACTCTGTCTTCTTGGACCAGACTAAGAAACTGCGGCCTGTTCATACATAGTTCGGTGTGGCACAAGCGGTCTCCAACGACCCTGATCCAGATTAGCAGGAGAGATGAATGCAACATGTTCCCAACAAGGGTTTTGCAAATAAACAGCTGCATGATTTTTCTCCGCAACTATGTCCGCGACGATGGTGGTCATCGATATAAAGTTGCGGAAAGCAAATACCCGGCGATGCACCGCCACAAGCCGCGCCACATGTCATCGTCACTAAACTCGGGGCCAGATCGACTGTTTCATGTCAATAGACCGGTTGGCCTCGATTCAGCGCTTATGAATTTAACACACAGTTGCGTTTTGCATAGGTATATCGTTTAAAACCTCGTAAATCTTTGCGCCTGGTCGAGACACTGGCATCCAGCAAGTCTAAATTGCTTGGCTATTGGGCAAAAGTAGCCCACTATGATCCATTTACATCTCTATAGTACTATTTAGTTGTCCAAGGATCTACAATCGCTCCTTCTCATTTCTTCAGATACTGCCTAAGTAAGGCAACATGTCAAACATTCCTAGTCCAACGTCTGTATTCATCACTGATTATCAGTTTTCGAGTGGGAATTGAGCGTAGACACAGTAACTGGCAATTACTGAAATTTCATTACAAAGCCAATTCACTTGCTACTTACAAGTCACCAGTGTATCTTGTCTTCGCCTTCCATTAGGCAATACTTTGTCGGGTCTCTTTCACTCACTTACCCTGAATCTTGTCAGTCTCACTTTCACAACAGTGGCGCAAACACGGGTCATAACAACCCCTACCAAAACCCCTGTATATTTGTGGTTTTCAATACCATTCGCCCCAACACTTAAATGGTGCCGCAGTCAAGCCGGATATCTCACCTCCTCAATTCCCCACCTCAATCACAGTACACAACCGCGCGATACCCGAGGTTTCAACATGGCACATCCAAACCTCCATCCTGAAATCTCTGATCGTACTCCACCACCTGTGCATATTCAAACAAGCCCCCCAGACTATGTTTGTATACATCCCACTGCGCTGGACCCAGCATACAACGGACCTGCACGTCCTCCATCGCCCGTCGTAATCACAGCACCAGCCTTGTCTACAAACTCAACAACTGCAGTAGGATTTATAGCCAATCACACTACACCTTCCACTCCACATTCCAACACAGATGACTGTCCCATTTGCCTGGACAGCTATACTACTGAGAACTGTCTCCAAATTACAGGCATTACAGGATGCAAGCACCGGATTGGTAGCATGTGTTTGCGAAAACTGCTCAATCGCCATCCCGGAGACGAGAAGAAATGTCCGTTGTGTCGCACAGTCTGGATACCGGGCGTTGTCTCCAACTTCGCTGCACGAGACCGAAGTCTTGCTAATATAAGAGCGATGACCAGCATGCTCCGGAGTACAGGTGGAGAAGCTTCCAGTTCACGCAATCGGCTTCCATACGGATACACGGCGTACCCTATTATGACAACGGACAGTCAACGTGTGGTACGAACTTACACACAGCCATCGTCACTATGGCAGCCCCGATATCAATCCGTCCTCATTGACTCGTCAGAGGAAGCAGAAGATAGAGACTCAGAAGAAGAGGATTACGCAACCCAAGTCCGAAATTATGAAGACCTAACGGCCCATATCGCTGATATACGGCGTCGAGCAGACAACCTAGTAGCGGATCGGACCAACCGAAACAGACGCCAGGACCAATTGCAACACGGCCATGAGAGCCAGTCTCGCGGCGGTAGCGAGACCAACAGAGTCGGGCCTAGAAGAAGGAGAGGAGCCATCTCCGCCAATGCACCAGGAGCGAACGTGCTTAACCGCTTCATGAACGTGCGCGCATTGAACGCTTTCCGAACCGCCGTGAACGGGACTGCACTCGAAGTTGAGGCTAGGGGCGACCGCTTCACCGGCCATGTTATGCGGGGAATGGCGCGTGCACGGGACGAGCCCAATGCTGGAGAAGGACAGCATCGCGCCACGCCTGGCGAGGGCTTGATGATGGCAGGTCAGCAGCAAGATACCATCTCATCTGCCGAGGCATCTGTTTCTCTGAATCTACAGACTCATACTCGGCGTGCTGGCGCAGATGTCGAAGTGACTGGATCTCGCAGCAGTATTCCACAACCTCACACTCGTATCTCTCATTCATTCCGCACTCCCGAAGCCCGCGCTCAGTACCTAGACGAGCGAGAGCGGTTTTTAGATGTCCGGTACACAAACTTGCTAAGGTGGGAAACAGCGCTTCAAGAGCGCGAGATGAGGGCAGAGAATACGCTTGCACTAATAACGAGGCAAAGGAGCGAGTTGGAAGCATTACTGCGAAGGCAGCGAGAGGAATTGGAGAGTAGGTAGGATCTCAGAGTAGACGTATTGCGATAGTAGTAATAGCCAACGAAGCAAGGAAGAACCACCTGACCATGGTCAACTCTGCGATAATACCATTAAACATCGATAGCGATACACAGATACAGATCTAAAAATAAAACTCCTACCTATCCATCACACCCCAAAGAAAACAAAATCACACAGCCTCCCCATGAACCCTCCACAAAACAATCCCAGAAAATCCCCCCCTCCAAATGACGCGAAAATCCCCGCTAGGATTCCCCAGCCCTGTGGCTCTCGGGATCCCCGAATATGCATGTACCTCGAAGAGACACATGCACAAGTTCCTCGTTTAAAGTAAACTAGCTTCCTGCACCTCGCAATCCTTCCCATCTAAGCCCCACGCGGGACACACACCACACCACACACATACTTACACACACATACACAAACACACAGACGGGCCCATACACGCATGCGCGATAAGATAACAAAAGAAAAACGCCACAGAAAAGGACAATGTTACACGAAAGTAGTAGGTGTGTAAGGGTGCAGGACACCTCGAGGCGAGGGGAGAGATTGGGAGATAGGAAAAAAAAATCACGTGGTGAGGCGAGATTAGCGGGACATGCCGTTTGTATGCTTAGCATTAGGGCGGGACGGGATCTGGGATGGTAAGGTGTGCGATGGGCAGGCTAGCAAAGAAGAAGAAAAAAAACCCTCTTCTAGAGTTTCTGTTGGAAGATATTCTGGGAATATGAAAAACAAAGGAAATGCGGAGGACGTTTGTAAAAGTGAATGGTTCTCTGTTATGGTTGGTTACGGAGACCTTGTGCTGCGAAAGAAGAAGAAAGTCGTTCGCATACTTTCTTCTGGCTTGCACATCTCTTGTCTATTGTTTCTTTCTTTGGTTGTTTACTATATTTACTACGTTGGAGGTTTTAGTTCGGAAAATATGGTTTCCGCGCCTTTATGGCTTTCGATTTTCTTTTGCAGAAGTCAATGGTCAGGCGGATTGAGGTAGTTGTTTGGTTCTGGGGGGGGGGGGGGGAGATGAGAGAAACGAAGGAGACGAAGGATGAAGGATGAAGAGAGTGGGCCAGACTTTGCAAACTGTGTCTCCCCCGATCCGCAAGGATGAAAAGTTCAGCCCTACGATTTCAGACGATATGAGCTGAAATATCGTCATTTCGCACCATCTCGGCCAACGACATGCGTCACGTTTGGCCTCTATTATCCAGTAGACTTGTTTTGCTCTCTGTGGCTTATTGTTGCATAGTTTCAAAGCAGCAGTTTCACCAGATGTGGAGCGGTGGTGGGAGGAGGAGTGGAAGAGCACACGCCTAAACGATCATGACTGCTCGGTTCCACAACGGCGGTATCCGATAATGGTCCGATCATGTTCGGCCGCTGCGTGTCATGCGGCGCCTGTCGAGCTGAACCTGAATCATGTTTTACGATGCATAGTGCCTTGCGAAGCTCAAGACTAGTAGCCCTAGCCGCGCTAGTTAAGACCGGAAACAAGAAAAAGTTCACTTGTAGTTCTAGGGCTGCTGCGTACCACGTCAATGTTCGGCATCTACGGCTTCTAGATGCTTTTCGGGCTTTTTTTCTGGGGTTTTCTTTGGCAAAAGCGTTTGTAACGGTGGATAAGTGAATGTTTGAGATGATTATCAACTGTTGGATATATTCAATACATGAGTATATGGACAGGAAAAGAAAAGAAATATAAATTTAGACACAAAAGAAAGAAGATAGAACAGCGAAAGCAAGGAGAGAAGAGACAAATCCAAAGTGCTGGTAATACAAAACAATTAAGCCGAGGATATCAAGTGATGTAAAGTTCACAAGCTTCACTCGTTACTCGCTCTCCAGCATATCCTCATAGCGGATACATGGTACCGACCGCGTGCACCTTCCAGTAAGAAATGACATATCCCGAAGGATTGGACTAGCTGAACGCCAACGCCAACACCAACGCCAGCGCTAAGACCGACCATAGCCAAGAAAAACTGACATGTATAACGTTTTCTGCTTGTGAAGGGGAGAGAAAAAAAGATAGGGCGTGACCAGCACTGTTGTCGAGTGAGAAAGGATGGTTGCCATCAAAAAAAACTGGCAAAAATCCCAAAGGAAAGTGATATCTGGGAACATGATGGATAGGGCGAATAGGAGGGAGCGGATTCGTCGGATGCCGAGGCGACCGTTATACAGCATGATATCGTAGCGCAGAGTCATGAATGACGCCAAAGTAGGCGGCGTATATCCGGGGTGTATAATGGGTGTATCCAAAGTCGAGAGACATTATCGTTACGGGGTATCGCTCATCGTCGAGACATAATGATCTGCTGAATTTGTGCAAGCGAGGGATCGTCGTTGAGCCATTTTCTCTGCGCTGCATCTGCGGCACGGAGGGTATTATCAACGTATGCGTCTGTCATGGCCATGAGTTCCTGTTGCTCGCTTGTCAGCCCATGTTTCAAGTCCGGATAATGATCTTCTAGTCTTCCAAGTTTTCTGAAGCGCTTTCATCCTTCGGGGAAGGCTTCCGGGTCCTCGAGGCGAAGTGGACAGGGGAAGCATTTCACGTACATTTCTCAATGTGGCATCAGCCTGCTGCAATGCTGCCATATGACTAGCATTAGGTTTCTGACCACGCAAGATGCTCTGGCGGGTGTTCATCCAGCGGAGACCAGCGTTCGCTCGAAGGTAGGCACGCTGGCATTGGAAGCGGCGTACAGCTGCGTCTACGATGATACTGTGAATTCTATGTTAGCATGCTATCAGGAGGTCTCCCAAAACAATCACTCACGCTCTCAATTGCCGCTTCTCATATTCGAGGTCACCCGTTCCCGAGGGAGTGCTGCTGGCGAATGGCGTCTGGAGGATAGCCTGAGCCTCGCTCGTACACTGTCGAAGAAGAGAGTAGCCATCGAGATAGTACTCCTCGGCTGTCGGCGTGGCGCGTAGTTGGACGAGGTAGTGTTGGAGGTTGCGGAAATCAGTCATGATCTCCGCTACACGCATTGCGCGGGCATCGTTGACTTTGAAATGTTAGCAAGGAGGTCCTGATAGATTATCCCTTGAAGACACCGTGATGGGCTCCAAAAGAGTTGGGGGATGCCTTACGACCGTCAGACATGATGAATATTAGATTTTCAAAGTAAAAGGTCGGCTGGCGACGAATGTGTAGAAAGGAGTGTAGTATATCGAAGAATGAATCGAGGCTTGTTGTCTTGTGTGGAAGAATGAGGCGCGGCGTGAGGAGTGTTAAATAGTCATATGTCCTCAGATGCACACTCCTGCTACGGTGAAGGTAGTAGGGCCATGGGCGAGGTTCTGATAGCTTGGGTAGAGAATAGAAGCCTCCCTGCAGGGCTACTCCCGCCGCTACATGGTGCCGAGCTCCACTTTGAGAGCGTGAGTCGCTTCCAGCTGTACTAGGTTCGTCTCCGCTCGCACCATTCAGCGGCCGGCATAGAGTATGTCGAGGCTTGGAGGAAGAGGAAGAAGGCATACTAGCATCGCCATGAGTATCCATCGGTGCTACAATGGGGAAACGCAGCATGCAGGAACCGTGCGTATGCATCGCAACGAGTTGGTTTTTTCGGTGCTCCGCTACCGCGGCATCCCAGCTGGAGTGGACAGCGTAGTGTTGACTGATTTCAGCAGCGTGAGGTGCGCCACACGGAGAATTGGGTTTAGCGGGCCAGCTCTAGGTGCCTGAATCGGGTAAGGCAGCGATGCCAGGCTGTGTATCCTAGTCTCAGCGAAGGCGGCGATTGGCTCTAGTGTGATTAGCGGTGCGTTCATCGCGTGCTGGTCCGCTGAAGGTGAACCTGAGAGGCATGCCCGGGAATGGAGCATCAGTGCGTAGGGACGCACAACGCTCGCCAAAGCCACGGCTGCAAGCCGCAAAGGCGGTGTCAGCCACGCGACGGCTGTGCTGGACGCTCCGAATGCTGTGAGCCAGTCAGATGACGTCGAGGACGCTGCTCACGAGTTGAAGGCCAGCCGTTAGCAGCTGAGAGGCTATGGGAATCTGGGGCCATGGGCGAATGGGCATACCGGCCAAGCGGCCTCATGGCTGAGCTTGCGCACTTCTTTTTTTGTTCATGTCCGGTGTTGGTGACTCGCTCACGGTTCATTTAGGCAGGAGAGTACAGTCTAACGTCTTTATTCATCGTGCTGCTCGAGCACTTCTGGCGTGTAAGAGGTCGTGTCATGCTACCTGTGAATATCGTAATGCTTTAGATTGTGTGGCCGTACCTGAGCGCCCCACACCCTCCTTGCAGCCCCATGTTTGCTGTTTCTTAGTCCTTGTCTGCAATTGACTGAAGTCGCTCGTCGATCTCGTCCTCGGTGAGCGCCCTGAAGGCGGGATCTGTACCCTCCGCGCCATCCGCCTTGGGTCCTCCTACAATACCAATCTCCAACTCTCCCTTTTTGAAGTCAACGGACAAGACAGTGCTCAGTGCAGTAATGGCAAGCTCGACCACCTCTTCCCAGTTGCCGTCGGCATGCTCCTTGTTCTTCAGCTTCTTTTCAAGAAAGTTTAGCGCCTCTTGCGTCTTTGGGCCAGACGCTGTTGCCTTGTAACCGACATAGTAGCCTGCAGGATCGCACTTGTAAAGTTGGGGTCCGTATTCAGAGTCGAGCGAGATGAGCGTGGTAGCCACACCTAGCGGTCGCATGTAGGCCTGCCCCTCTGTCAGCTTTCAATTGGCTCATGTTTGTACGATATGTCATGCAGTACCCTTTGAGTGTAGACTTGGCTGATGTTTGCTATCCTCTTTGCCAGGACATCACAAGGCATCTCATAGCCGTACTTGTAGCGGAACTCAGCAGCCTCACCCCGCGCTCTGCTCACTGAGGCTCTCGCATCGGCAATGGAGCCAGTCATGACGCAACCAACCGAGGGCGACAGCCGGAAGATGTGCGAGACCGAGCTGGGGTCAATGAGCTTGTCCTGGAGATATATCAGTACACACGGTGTCGGCCCCTCCTCGCATGCGCCACACGTACAGGCACCTTCTTCTGCGAGATGACTACCGCACAGTCCTTTCCTCGCACGCCCAGCGATGTGATGTTTGCAGCGGTGATGGCCTTGAATGCATATTCTGGTGTTGCGGGGTCAGCATCTGGTTGTCGACGAGGACACAGCAGCTGGCAGCCAGCCAGTTGGCCATGGTGACTGCCCCGGCGGTGTGTGGACAGGCAATGGATTGCATACCGACTTGGTAGAGACGGCCCTGGTCTGAGAAGATGGTGATGTGTCGGTCGTAGCCTGCGCTTCCTACATGGTGGCCACCGCTGTCAGCATCTATGTAGCTTGGTGGGCAGCTTGCTACAGACCAGACATGATGAAGGCGGTGGTGGGTGGTGGATTTGGTTTATATTTGTGTTGTCCGTCTTCAGCTTCAGCTCCCGCAGCAGCTCCCGGAAATATGCGATGTGTTGAAAAAAGGCGCGGGTCTGGATGTAGGCCAGAGGTTGCTGGTGTTGGCTACCGCTGCTTCACCTACGCGTTGCTTGTGGCCTGGAGCTTCTGGGATCGCCGTCACCTGGCCCGTGCGTCCCTAGCATCAGCCCCGAAATTCTCTGCCTGCGACTTCTCATTCGACCTTTGTATACTGACGAACGCCCTATTCCAGCTGATTCGGTCATGCGCGATGCCATCTAACTTCTGCATCTTCAGTTGCACATAGCCATATTCCTCTTTTGATCATGGCCCAAGACGCGGGTAGAATTCCCGCCTGGCGAAGACTAGGTCTCGCCCTCAAGAACCAAGAGCATGCCGGAGTCGCCGTGTCTGAAAATCAAACTCCTTCCAATGCTCCACAGCAATCTGCCTTAGGCATTGAGCTGGATGGAAGCGATCAGGCGGCCAAGCTTGGCAAGCGGAAACACCAAGAAGAACCCCATCATCAAGAAACCAAAAAGAGCCGAATCGCTATTACCGACATCCAAATCAACCAAAATACATCCATTGAATCTCCTGAGACTGTCCCGGAGAAAGCCCCAGAGACAGCAAAACCTACCAAGGGCGACTCCAACTATCGGAAGAAGAAGGAAAAGCCAGCCAAACGCCCAAAAGCAACTAAAGACGCTCAGCATGCTGGCTTCCAGCCGCACTCCCAGCCCAGTCGTGGATCCCCCGCGACTGCAACAGAGCGCCCAACTTTACTTGCGTCCACTGAGACAAATAGTGCAGACCCAATTGTGACTCCACAAAAGCCTTTGACAAAGCAAAGCCGCAAAGACCCTTCAGCTTCACCACGGAAATCTGTTGCCTTTACCCCAGACACTAAAAAGTCCGACGGCAACACCGGACAGGATTACTTCAAAGCCTGGGTTGCGTCACAGAAAGGCACTGGAGAGGTGTCTCAGCCACCAGAGGTCTCGAATTTTGTCCTGCATGCATTGATTGCCGACGAAGAGAAGACGGCAAGGAAGAACGGGCAGCTCGAGAGGAAGCAGGAAAGCGACCAGACTAAATTAGCAGAAAAGCCATCACCTCAGCCCACAAAGACTGAGAAAACCACTCCCAAGCAGGACGAGTCAAAGCTGGAAAAGTCAAAGCCCAACGCCGAACAAGCCACCTTACAAACTGCGCCTACGGCAAAGGGTAAGAAAAAGGATCCATCCATCTACATCGCTTATCTCACTCAATACTACAACGACCGAAGCAACTGGAAGTTCAACAAGGCTAAGCAGAATGACGTTGTCGACAATGCTTTGAACATTTTCCGGATCCCAATGGAGCATTCTGAAGCACTGGCGACATATATTGCTGGACTTCAAGGAGCAGGTGTTATTGACCGCCTGCGTGAGCGCTGTCACGCAACACTGGACGACCTCGACAAGCAAGACGCAAAAATGGATGATGCAGAGACCCGCAAAGTAGCTCAGGAGGAGGCCGAGCAGGAACGCATCGCCAAGGAGAGAAAGAGAAGGAGGACTGACGGCGATGTAGCCGCCCTTGCAGAACATCCTTACAGCCCTGGTTTTATCAGAAGACTCCAACGACGCCGAGCAGAGGCGCTTCTGAACGCTTTAGGACGTACTGCCCCAGTCGTGGCACCACCAAAGCCCGTTATAAATCCGTTGATGCAACATGTCAAGCCCGACCCACCTAAATCAAACGCGCGAAAACGCAAGCGGAGATCCGAAATCTCGAGCGACGAGAGCAGTTCGGACAGTAGCGATGACAGTTCGAGTTCGGATTCAGATTCAGATTCAGACTCAGACTCGGATTCAGACTCGGGTTCTGGAAAGGATACAGCCAGCTCCAGCGACGACAGTGACAGTGGGAGCGATAGCAGCAGCAGTGGCTCTTCCAGTGATAGTGATAGCGACTAGATGGCGGAGTGATTTTTTCCAAGATATTTTGCATTGCATTCGATCAAGGATCTCGGCGTTATCTGTCTTGTAGATACCATTGTCCTCGAAAAAAACGCCCGCCTGGACTCTTCACCAGTAAGCCGGAACCTCATCTTTACATACCACAAACAGAATGCATGGATTTTAATGACCTCCATCATGAAACCAAAACACTGTTCCTGGTTAGGAAATATGCAAGTATGCTACCCGAACCAGCTAGCTCCATCGTGTCCAACGAGTTCCCCGCTCTTGTTTCCCAAGTCGGACTATAACCATTCCATTGACGTCTACTATTTAATTAGTCCATCTCTCTGTTAGAGATGCTCTTGAAATCCTTGATCTTTCTTCTAATACAAACAGAATGACATTGACATCTCTTCCCAACGAGCTCATCGAACACATTGCTTCATATCTAGACCTTCCCAGCACCCGTTCACTCCGGCTAACTACATCCTCCCTAACAAAAGCATCGTCCCACCTCTTCAAAGACCGCTTCTTCCAACAACGCACTTTATTCTGGACCAAACCAAGTCTAGATACCTTTGTACAAATCTCGCTACACCCGCAATATGGCAATGCCCTTCGCCACCTCATCATCGACGCAACACCCCAACACTCGATGCGTCTCTGGCAACTCTCCAAACAAATAACCGAAATCACCCCCTTCCCCAGCTCCTCCTCCTCCTCCAAGGCCGCAACATCCCCCGAACAATGCAGCCTCCAAGACGCGTGGGCGCAAGCCGCCGAAAAAGCCGCCCAAAACACATCCTTCTTCAACGAAACCCGACACGACCAAAAAGCCCTCAAGCAAGCCTTTGCAAACATGTCCCAGGAAAACCACCTCACCACAATCACCTTCCTCTACATGGGCCTCGCATCCTCGCTCGTAAAAGGCGGAAGAACATACTGTGCACTCAGCCAATGCGAAATCTCGCGGCCCTTTGTGTCGACGCTCGCGGCGCTCGCAGCATCGCCGCACATCCGCCTCTCGCGCATCGCGCTGCACAAGCCGTTCGACCACGGCGCTGTAAGCATCGGCCGGCTGGAAAGCCTGGCGCCCTTGCTGCCGTGCTTCGACAAGGCATTCAGCACGCTAACGCATCTCGCGCTCAACCTGCGCGACTGGCGCGAACAAGAGTCCGGCTTTGAACTCGCACCGCCGCTGTCCCCGTCTTCGTCATCGCCGCTTCCTCCCCGCCCACCCTTCATCGTGCGCTTCTTGTCGAAAATGCACAGCCTGACTTCGCTCCAACTGAGCTGCTATAGTAACTTTGAGCATGACGTTTTTGAGCAAATAGCAAGCCACTGTTGCTTTGACAAGCTGGTGGTGTGTAAGCTTTCGGTTATGCGGGTGGAGCGGATAGAGTGGTTGGATATGTTTCTGGCAAGGAGTCTGCGAGGGCCGCTGAGGGAGCTTTGCTTGAGGCATGTTATGCTGGGGAAGCGCGAGGGGAGCGGCTGGGTCGAGTGGATGAAGCGGATTGCGGTTGAGCAGCAGGATTTGAGTCAAGAGCGTGTGTGCGAGGGACAAGCAGTGCCGCCGGCGCCGGCGGGTATTACGCATTTTTGCTTTGCGGATTTGTTTACGGGACAGGGTGAGGTGTTGCATGTACGGGGGAGTCGGAGCCTTTGCTTGGGAGAGGACTGGACATGTCAGCTTTTGAATGCATTGGACAGTGGAGCACAAGGGAAGGAATGGAGGCCACAGTGGGATATGGGTGCCTCTGCGTATCCGTTTGTAGGGCTGAGCATGTGAGTTATGGAATGGCTTTCACCGGCATTTCAGCAGACGTAAAAAAAAAAAGCACGACCCTGGGCGCGTCTGTGAAGACTATTTAGTGATTTAGGTTCTGGATAGAACACAATATTTCAAGGTAGAGAGGGCCGTTAAAAGCCTAGAGTACAGGGGGACTTGTATATTTTGGTATTCAAAAATTTACATCATGATTCCGCATTCCCTCCCCCCCCCCCTTGCCGCCCACTGTCCAATCCTTCTCAAAGGAATGCAACTCCATTCAGTATAGAGGCCTCGTCTGTCGAGTGAGATTACCCATGATTGCGGGAACGGTCCAAGTGGATTGCGGCATATATCTTCTACTCGAGGTTGGCCTTGATGGCGGCCTCGAGAGCCTTGGGGTTGGCACCAACAACCTCGGCGACCTTGTCACCGCCCTTGAAAAGAAGGAAAGTGGGCATAGCGCGGATACCGAGTTCCTGGGCGACGTCGGGGACCTCGTCAACGTCGAGCTTGTAGAAGCGTGCGGCGGGGTATTGTTCGGAAAACCTAGTGCAGTGTGAGATGCGGAGTCTGCGTAGATGGACTAGGGTGGAAGCTTACTTGACGACCTGGGGAGCAATCACCTTGCAAGGGCCGCACCATGTCGCGAAGCAGTCAAGAACCATGAGGGTCTCCTTGTCGTTCAAGGCTGCGTCAAAGTCGGTCTTGCTACAGTTCGCATCGCGTCAGCTGCGGCCACCAAGTATGACGTCGCGTACGTCGCGCGAAAGGCGGCAGGCAGAAACTTACGTGGTAAGGTTGTGGACGCCCTTTTTGTCGCTCATTTTTGCGGTGTTTGAGAAGAAACGTGGGGTGAAGAGTGGTCGGTAGAGGTTTGTGGTTGAGGTGGGGTTGATGGAAGCTGTTTGCAGACGCACAGATGTGAGCAGTGTTCTGGTAGCTCTGAACGATGACGGCGCGAACATAATATATGCTAGACGAGAAGAGAGACGGCAAGAAAAAGGCGATTTCAAATGCTCGGGACAATGGAATGAACTGGCCGCCGCCGTTGCCGATTACAACGCTGAGGCGCGCCTATTTTTCGGCAAGCCCTGGGAGTCCCTGCGCAAATGCAGTAGTGCACTGGAGCGGGACGGCGGGGAGGCAGATAGGAACGCAAAGGGGCTGCTTACAATTTCAAAAGTTGGGTGTGTTTGTGATGGTAGGTGAAGTTGGATTTCTCCGAGTTTCCTGGCTCTATGTATAGCGTCAGGCGCGCTGATAAAGACGGATTACTACACACAGGTGGCTGGAGGGGCTGCGGTGATGAATGACGTGCTTGGCCGACCGACAACCCGAGTTGCCCCGCCAGGGTCCTGCCTCGTGCGGGCGGGCCATGCAGCAACCACGACGTCGTCGATTGACGGCAGCTCGACCACTCGGAAGCGCCATGTCACCAAGTCATGGATGGAAACCTGGCATATTGACATTCACAAAGAACAGTCTCACAAGCAGGTGGACGCAAGGATTGATGTACAAAAGCCACCAGTGCGGCTCAACTTAGAATTACAGTCTTTCCCGGAAGAAAAGATTCATGGAGACAGTGTCTTGACAACGCCAGGTCTACACGCCGAAAAAATACAATGGGGCGGCGGCCCTAAGAGACTAGGCCTAACTGCCCACGTCTAAATGCTGCCCGTGTTTCAATCAAAAAAAACTATTAATTACAAAACCAACATGGCAATCCATAAGGAGGGTATCACAGAAGCCGACCGCAGCTGCTTGTGCTATCACAGACCACAATAAAACAAAAACCAAATCCTGAAAAATAAAATACAAACGCCGCGCTATGCAAGGCGCAAAGAACAACCCAGATCCACAAAAGGGTCCGAGACGGAGCTTGCATCCATTCGAGAGCTTTCCTGATCAATGAATCGCATGCTGCCAAGCCAAAAAAGGGACAAGAGACAATCAAGGAAATCGTAAACGAGTGACTGGGTGAGTAGATCAGGATACAAAGGAAAAACGCAAAATGAATGGCGTGGCGTGGCAGGCATGCAAAACCAGAAATCAAGAAAGCTCTTACGAAACGGTTGTCTTACTCGTGCTCAGGTCTTCTTGCAGATGAGTTGTCGTCTAACGGTATACTTGACCGTTTGTGGATGTCCAGAAGCCTCGCCGAACCAGCGCTGAGGTGCCTGACATGGTGCTTGCCGAGATCAACGCTTTTGGCACGTTGCAACACCATTGGCTCCGAATCCGATGTCGGTGATGTTGGTGACTCTTGGGTGGGCGATTCCATCACTACCTCGGCCGCCTTGGAGGATCTATCCCCCGTGTCGTCAGTGAAGACGCTTAGAAGACCTTCGGTGGACTGGATGCGAGGCCGGCGGTAGACTATAGTAGGCTGGCGGGCGACGCCGCTCTGGACACGCTGGTCTCCTTCTTCGGTTGTCGAAGCCACAACAGTGGACTCGACCTCCTCGTCGGATTCGACCGCAGTGTCAAGCGCCATCAAAGTGCTACTAGCTCTTCGGCCCCGGTCATCGTTTCCGTAGGGAGAGGAGCCTCTTTGATTTGGCATGCCCGTAAGGTTCTTGAAGTACTCGTCATCGGCCATTCCCAATTCCTCGTACGAAGGATTGAACTCCTCGTGACGCAGCACAGCCGAAGACTTGAGACTGGAGCGCATCTGGGACCGATTGGATGGTCGTTTGAGCGGTCTTCCTGAAAGCCATGATGCTTCAGAGTCGACCGATGCAAGAGACTGCGACATGTTGTTGGTTGGCACACTGGGACTCACGGGCGAATCAGATCGGTCATCGGATGGCGGTCCCACACGAATATCCGACAGATGCCGGCTTCTTCTGCGAGCAGCAAGGCCAGTGGTGGCTGGTGCCTCTGGTGATTGTACACGAGAATCGGGAGGTGAGATGGGGAATTCGGGGAGATCTTCCCTAAACTTTGATCGGGTCCGCCGAGGTACACTGGAGGGTCTCTTAATCTGCATTGGCTGTGACTCAACAGGTGCAGTGCCGACGAGGTGAATGGGAATGTACTGGCGAGACATGGATTCCCGTGATGTGTTGGAGAAGGAGGCTTCGGAAGGTGGAGGACGTGTTTGGTCTTGCGAGTTGCGCTTCCCTCTTCGGAAGAGTGAAGCAAACACACCCAAGCGCTTGCCCTCAGTACTGAGCCTACGCATAGAAGGAGCTTTCTTCGAGGTCGCCGTAGTGTCAATGGTATCGACAGGGTGCAATGATCCGCTCCTTGCGGGCTCTTGGAAGTGCACAAATTCGATAGGAGTGTCGTGGCCAAGTTTCTCGGTCAGGAGTTCTGGGAGTATGGAAGCATTTGACACGACACGGGTCTGTAGTGGGGAAGAGGCACTGCCTCGCGAGAAGCGGATAGCTTGGGCATCGGATACAACGGGTTCTTCAGCAGGGCTGTCGAATGGGGTGGGTAACTGGTTGTTGACCTGTGTTGGAGGTGTGACGGGCATCTCAACTAGCTGAGGTCGGTTTGGTGTCGATGGACGAACGTCCTCCATGGGCACATGGGTCTCTCGCTCAATGCCCAGCCCAAATGAACTGTTAATCTCATCCTTGCGGGGAGTTACAGGTGCGGCCTGGGCTTCAGCAGCATTCTGCTTCTCGGCACGTCGTTCTAGCCTTCGGCGGAGACGTTCTTGGTCGGCCTTGGCCTTCTTTTCTCTCCGCCTCTTGTCTCGCTCAAGGATATCGCGGAGTGCTCCGGTATCGAGATGGTCGGCCAAGTCATCAATTCTGCTTGTTCTTCGGTTTGCCTTTTCCTCGTTGCTGGTCATTGGTCGTCGGTCGCGGCGTGGGGATTTTTCGCTACGTGCATTGGGCGAAGTGCGGTCGCCTGCGTGATAGTTTGAGCCGTAAGAGACGCGGATGGTGGGTCGAGGTGAGAACATGTCGAGTGCACTCACGCGAAAGGCGCGGTTGTCTGAGCCACCAGACATGGACGAGTGGATCGAGTCGGCGAGGGGCAGGGAAACATTCGAGATTGGGCGCTCAAGGCGGTAGTTGATGGCGCCCTTGACCTTCTTGCTGTCTCTGCGCAGCATACTCGCAGAGTTGCCGGCGGGTCGTTTCTGAGGCATGGCAAGGGACATGGCGCGGATCTCCTCTTCACGGACGTGATCATGTTCTCTGCGCCGTTTACTCGACTTGCGGCGGACGAGGGAGTCTACAATATGCGGATCCCTGCGCATTGACTGGGATCGCTGGAGTTTGGCGCGATCCTTTACTGAGGACAGGGGTTCGGGATGGACGTGGGACTGGAAGTTGTAGAGGATGCCGCCGTGCTCCTGGGTAATGGGACGCAGGTGCGGACTGTGTTGGAGGCGGCGCTGAGCAGGCAGGGCGGTGATGTCTTCAGCGCTCGACTGGGGCCAAGCCTCTTTGGCGAAAGAGAGTTCGGGCAGGGTCTTGTCAACGTCGCGGATTGAAGCGGGTGTGGACCGCGAACTGCCCCGTCTGCGGCGTAAGCGTTGACTAGGGCCTCGCCGCGGGCCATTGTTGGTCTGATTCGTGTTGGGTTGCTGGCCGGCGGCGGATGCGACAGGCAAGCTCCTTTCTGTAGTGGCAGCAGATCCACCACCATCTCTTAATTTAGCGGCCTTCCTCCGCCTCCGCCCAAACAGCCACATGAGGCTTCGCGGGCGCCAGCGCGGCGGCGACGGCGAGGAGCTCTATGAAGCAGGTGTTTTTTCTTGAGAGGGGCGTCGTCGCGGCAATGGACGCGACGAGGCGGGTCGGGGGATAGCGAAAGCGGACGGGTGCTATGTGGAATGGGAGTCGCTGCACGGCCGGTCGGGCTGCATGTTGCGCGGGCTGCAGTGGGCGGGTGGCACTCGGGCTGGGGCCGCCAACGGGCGAGCGAGGGAGCGAGGGAGCGAACAGGCGAGTGACGAGGGCGGAGGTGCAAGAGAGGGGGAAACAAGGAAGAGAAGGAGGCGGAGAAGCAGTGTATGAGGTGGCAGTGATAGTATGGTGTGTCTGTGTCTGCGGGTGCGTGGCTGTCTGTGTGCGGGCGCGAGTGCGAGTGTCTGTGTGGGTGCTGCGATGTGATGTAAGGGAGGAGGCGCGTGCTCGTATCTGCCCTACTGCGCACGCCGGTAGACAGGGCTCGACCCTTGGCTGATGAAGATGCCCACCCGGCGGACAGGGCCAAAAATATACTATACTACTATGCTACCCGTCTTGCCTGTTCTTGTCGGGCATTTCTGGGCTGGGGCCCTGGTCGGTCCTTGTCGGTGCGCAGAGGGCGGCGACACGGGCGAGGGCGCGCAGCAGCTTTTAATCTTGCCTCGCCCTGGCCGCTGGACGAGGGCACGACGGCGGCCACGGCCACGACGGCGGCGGCGGCGTTGTGGCAGAGGCAAGGCACTGCAGCGCCAGAAGCATCGTCCCAGATTGCCCCGTCGATCTCGCCCTGGCCGTGGCCAACCAACGGTGGCAAGGGGCCTGCGCTCGCCATGCCAGCTCCCAGCCGGTGCCCCGTCGTGGTGCCGGCCGGCCAGTCTTTGGCTCTCGCCCGCTGCTCACCTCAGCTTATCGCCCGCCTGCCACTGGTCTGCTGGGCCCCCGCCGCGCCAAAAAGAAACGGCCTGCCCCCACTGCACAGCAAAACAAACACCCATCCAAGCCGCTGTCATTTCCACGCTTTTTGCGTCTCGCTCTCGCACCCGCACTGCACTGCACTGCACTGCTCCGGAGCCTGCGCGCTGCCAGAGCGCGGTACGCTGCGTGCCTGCGACCCAAACCATGTCCGTCTTGAATTGCAGTGGGACACGTCGCTCCTGCTCCTGCACGCCAGCCGTGGCCGTGGCTTGCTGGGGGGGCACTACCCTCACCATCTCCGTCTCCCTGCAGCCTACCCTACCCACCTGCAAAGCCCATCGACAGCGACGTTGTGTGCCTCGTTGCAACTCAGGTACCCGTCTCTCAACCATGCCCACTCCTTCGCACCCGCTGTAAGGGCCTTCCCTGCTCCAGCCCCCCAAGGCCACAACCGTCGCCCGCCCGCCCAAACGGCTGCGCAGCGCTGCCGTCTGCTTTTTTCCTCTTGTGCGTCTGCCCATACACACCCTCCACTTGCCGCAAAGACGTGTCGGCGCCCACCAAGCCTCCGCGCCTCTGCTTCGAGGTCGCGTGAAACGTCCAAGGCGTGGCAGGCTGGCGTTTCAGATGCACATTGTGCTCTTGCCTGACTTGTGCAGTCCCGCCTTCCGCTTTCTCGGCGGCCCGCAGTTGACTCATTGTCAACGCCAATACGAACCATGCAAGTACCGACGACATACAGGGAACGCCAACTGTCACACCTACGTCAATTTTTGCCTCGCTTGCTGCTTTCCGCCACGCCTGCGAGGCCCATGACCCAATACCACTGTGCATCCATCCACAAACACTCGCTCCAGACTTTGGCCCCTAGCCACAAGTCTGAACTTACTTTCCCTTCTGCCTCCTACGCCTACAACTAAGCCGAACCGCTGGGGGAGGAGGGGGCAATGCATGACGACAAGCCATTCATTACTCGCCCTCGACCGACCATCCTGTTCATGGCACCTCCGCCCTCGCCTCGTCTCCACTAGGGTTGGGAGTATCTCGGGCATACACCCCCCAGCGAACGCATAGACGCAGCAACGGATCCCCAAAAACTATGCTCATTTTTTTTGTCGTGCCCTGTTGCTTACTATTATTACTAACCCTGGCTCATTCTTTCCTCAAGTGGATCAATGATCCAATGCTTCGTAGTCGTGCAAGCATACTTACTACTTTTGCTCAAGCCTGACGTATAACAGCTGCCACAACAGCAGGCCAATATTGACGTGCGTCGGAGAAGCATAACCCCCTCTCGCCTTGCGCAAAATTACAAAGCGCTGCATCTCAGGGATTTGCTCCTATTGACTTGGATACATTGGTTGTCCTGGGTGTCATTCAACTTATGCAAAGCCATGCTCCCAATAAACACTGTGCTCACTAACCCCAAGCTGATGCATATCCGGTCGGAATACGCCACACAGCCAACGCACCACTGCGAGTGCATTACTCCTACACCTAGGCAACAGAATTGATTTCTTTTGACCTTGTTTTCTTTTTCTCGCACTTTGGTTCCGCGTCACGTGGCTAGTCCTAGCTGCGTCGGAAGGAGCGTTCCGTCAAACGGTACTTTACACCCGAGTACGCCTACCAGCCACGGAGTGCTAGGCAAATACAAACCAGACCGGAGGCCCGCCAAAGGCCACCCATCGATGTATGTACGACGACATGATTCAATCGGTCTATGTATGCTGCCCATGTGACCTTGAGAACTCGACCATCTTTCTCTTTCTGCTTCAACTCCTCGCCGTTGTCTGATATTGTCTGTAAGCAAAGGAGGGATGCAAGAGTTTACAATCGCCCAAACAAGAGGCATAGCCCATAACAGACATTGCTTGATATGGTCACAGAGAACCCGTTACCAGTATGACAATTGTTCCATTTCACCATCTGAACGCTAGAGCTAGCATGCAGTACAAAAGCCGCCCATACTGGTAGGACGGCTTGAAGTATCAGTGCTTGGAAAGAGAATGCACGTGACATCGTCGGGAGATCATGTCAGCACAGGGAGCGGTACTGCACGCACTGACAACTCGCAAGCATGTGAAAACAGCGTAAGCAGCGGAACAGCCTGCCGCCTGTTGTCCATGTCCGGTTGCGGATGGGCTGTTGGAGTGGATCCGTGTGCTGTTCTGCTTGTCCCGATTCGGAAAAGACAGGGTCTCCCGTGCCTTGCCAACAAAGCGCTCCACTGCGTAAACAAACACCGCCCACCAACATTACACCATCATCACCCCGCAGTCCTGATAACCAAATCCAGCAATATTCAACCAATACATCAATACCTGGCTGCAGTTGCCTAGAACACCACCATGTCTTACAACGGGCGCATGAGCATGGCGCGCACCACTCAACACAATCAACGCGCACCCCCAGTCAACGAACATGACGCTTTCATGACCTTGGTATGTCGAGAGACACCCTTTGAGTCGAAGAGATGCTGACTGGCCTAGCCGGACAACGAGATCGCAGGCTGTATTTCAGACATCGGCATCCAGTTCACCGTATCGGACCTACAGAAGCCCAACCCCCAGATTATCCAAAAAGTTTTCGAATGGCTGGCCGAACTGCTGATGAACACGACTCGCGAAGTCGTTGCGCCAGCGATGCGGGCCGCTGCCGAAGACATGTGCGGAGGAGACGCAGAGCGACTCTACACCAGCGATACCAGAGATTTGATGGGCTTCTTTGTCATTCTGCGAAAACTATTGCGCGAGGTGGGTGACATTCGGAACTGCTCGGATTGGTCTTACTAACGAATCTAGTGTGGAATTCATGATTTTACTTTCAATGATCTATACAAGCCCACTCATGGCCGCCTTGTTAAGATATTTTCGTACATGATCAACTTTATCCGCTTCCGCGAATCTCAAACCGAAATCATCGACGAACATTTCAACAAGGCCGAACGCACTAAACTACGAATTGAACAGCTATACAATGACAAGCAAACCAAGGAAATGCAACTGGCCGATCTCGAGCGCAACCGTGCCGCCACCCAAAGGCTGATGCAGGAGAAGGAGAAGCGCAACAACGAGCTAAAGACCCGACTGCTAGAATTGAAGAGGGGGCAAGAGGCAGTAGCGGAGAAGCTGGAGCGTGCCAAGATGGAGCAAGACAGGCTGAAGAAGCTGCTTCAGCAAAAAGTCGAAAACAAGGAGAATGTCCAGCGCGAGGTGCTGAAACTGAAGCCATATACTCAGCAGAGCCCAACAGCTCTTGAAGACTCATTGCGTGACTTGAGCGATCGACTCACCGGCGACAAGACACAGATTGACATGTTAGACCGCCGTGCTCGCGCTCTTCAGACCTCGACCGATTCGTTCGCTGTTGTCGCTACCGACGTTACTTCATGCACACGATTGCTTACCGATGTACAAGCCGATCTCACGCGAGAGGAGGAGGAGCTGGCAAAAGCATCGAGACACCGAGATGCGCTAGCCGACCGGAGCAACAATGTGCGCGACGTCGAGCGACAAGAACGCCTCTTGCAAAAGCAATTAGGTAACATCAATGCCCGCACAGACAAGCTCAAGGCCAAAGGCGATGAAGAGGCAGAGCGTGCGCGCAGACGTATGGAGGAGCTTCGAGATACTCACGCCAAGCTTACCGAAGAGCGCGGCGAGAAGGGGCGAGAGATGGAGCGGCGGAGAGTCCGTATTGAGCAGACCGAGAAGAAGATGGCCGAGCTCAAAGACAACATTGAGAACGAGGTTCACTCTGCTCACGACGAGTATCTCAAGATGGAGAGTCACATCAAGCTCTACATTACAGAGATGGAGCAGAGTATTTAGTTGTCTTCTTTGGGGGGATAGATGATACTTGTTTTTGGTCAGGCAGGGCGTTTAGGGGCACTCTGCTTCTTGTTCAGATACCATGAGGCAATCTAGGGCACGAGGATGTGATACCACGTAGCAGTTCTGTTTTAATCACAATTGTTAGACTTTTTACATACTTGTCGTGAGCCCTTGCCTCTCACCGCCCAGTTCCATGGTTAGCAAAAGGGATAGATAGACAACGCATCCCTGGGTCTAGTTCTGCAGGCAGGGTGGCGACAGACCATGAAGACATCAATCAGGACTTGGTGCCACCTTGCAAGCAGCGGTCTGTCTCCCCACAAGCTTGCGTGTTGAGCCACCGGCTACCCGGAAGGTACAAGTGTCTTTGGGGTCTGCCTAGAAAAACTATAGCGGGTGAGGGATCATGCGTATTGTGCTACATCGATATTAAATTTCGTATCACACCCAAAACGTCAAGTTGCACTCTGAGTCATTTGGATAGTAATATCATATCCAAAATTTCACCTATTTGACTAATGCACAAATATTAGCATATGAACCATTGAAAGCTTGCATGCCTTGTAACATACGAACAGAGACCTCGCTAAAAAAAAAACAGGCGACCTTTGATGCCACATGTGCTCCTTTGTCCAACGTGGATCCAAGTAGGGTAGTAGTGGAATCGGAACGGTGGTGGTCATTGGTGTGGCGGTGTAATTTGGAGTGTTTAGACGAGCCCTTGTGCATGGGTAATCGTTAGGAAGCGACGTGTGATTTGTTGCTTCGCATCGAGCTGCACATGCCTGGCATAGCGACTAGGACAGCCGAGAACATAGATAATTGTTGCGTATTGCTTGGTCTGCTGTGTGGGCGAGGGCCCAGGGAGCAGACCAGCGCCCAAACATGAAAGAGAGCGTTGAGTCAGGGTGGATTGCAAATTGCCAGAGCCCCATTGCTTGACTCACCTGCGGGAAACCACGTTTGGAGTCTTGGATCAATTTCTCCAGGTTTGTGGAGCATGGAATAGACTGGGAGCGGGAAAAAAATGGCTGTACTCCGCTTCCCGTGCATCAAAGGGAATTGCTCCCGTTGGTCGCTCAACCCCACATCATCAGCGAAGCCGGCCTAGCACAGCTACAGGCCCGATCCCGGCTTTGACGCTTTTCATCATCGCTCAGCGCAGCAGATTTTTGTCATTGACTCACCTTGGGAGCGGCTGCCCGACCTTCAAATACTGCTCTTTGCCCACCACTCTTCCAAACATTCTACACTACACTTCAATTTCCAAAATGTGCCCTCCCACAGAAGAAACCACCAACGGCCATGCCAACGGCACCAACGGTGCACCTCGCAGCAAGGAAGGCTTCACTGGTGTCCAGACCAAGCAGAATCCTCACCCATCACACAGGAGTCCCTACCAGCCTGTTGGCGACTTCCTGTCAAATGTTGGGCGATTCAAGATTATCGGTGCGTTCAGGATGCCAACCTTCACCGCCACCCGACGTGCACGCGTCGATATTTGAAGTTTTGCAATTGAGCACTATACCAGAGCACAGCTGACCTTTATTCGCATAGAGAGCACACTGAGAGAGGGAGAGCAATTTGCCAATGCCTACTTCGACCTCGAAGCCAAGATCAAGATCGCCAAAGCCCTCGACAACTTTGGTGTTGACTGTAAGAAATCACCCCGCGGGACTTGGCCTGCAAAATTTCCCAGGCTAATCGAATTCTAGACATCGAAGTTACCAGTCCCGCTGCTTCCGAACAATCAAGAAGGGACTGCGAGGCTCTGTGCAAGCTCGGAGTAGGTTTTACAAAAATTCTGGTAGCGAGCTCGCACGCTGATAGTTTTGCAGTTGAAAGCCAAGATTCTCACCCACGTACGATGCCATATGGACGACGCCAGAATCGCTGTCGAGACGGGTGTCGACGGTCTCGATGTCGTCATTGGAACCTCAGCATACCTCCGCGAGCACAGCCACGGCAAGGACATGACATACATCAAGAACACGGCACTTGAGGTTATTGAGTTTGTCAAGAGCAAGGGCAAGGAGATCCGTTTCAGCTCCGAGGACTCGTTCCGATCAGACCTTGTGGATCTTCTCTCTATCTACAGTGCCGTCGACAAGGTTGGCGTCGACCGTGTTGGTATTGCCGACACCGTTGGCTGCGCCTCTCCCCGTCAAGTGTATGACTTGGTCCGCACTCTGCGTGGAGTCGTTTCTTGCGACATTGAGACTCACTTCCACAATGACTCTGGTTGTGCTATTGCCAACGCATTCTGCGCGCTGGAGGCAGGAGCTACGCACATTGACACCTCTGTACTCGGCATTGGTGAGCGCAACGGTATTACTCCTCTCGGAGGCCTGATGGCTCGCATGATTGTGGCCGACCGCGAATACGTCACCAGCAAGTACAACATCAAGGCGCTCAAGGAGGTTGAGGACCTGGTTGCCGATCTTGTTGAAGTCAACATTCCTTTCAACGTAAGTACACTCTCCAAAGTAGAAGCAATCTGGATACGCCACTGACTCGTATCTCAGAACTACATTACTGGATTCTGCGCCTTCACCCACAAGGCTGGTATTCACGCCAAGGCCATCCTGAACAACCCCTCGACATACGAAATTATCAACCCTCAGGATTTCGGCATGTCCCGCTACGTGCACTTTGCCAGCAGGCTTACGGGATGGAACGCGATCAAGAGCCGTGCCGAGCAACTTGGTCTGCAGATGACTGATGCACAATACAAGGAGTGCACTGCTAAGATCAAGGCCATTGCCGACATCCGCAAGATTGCGCTAGACGACACTGACTCCATCATCCGTACCTACCACAACAACCTCCATGCTACCGAAGAAGTGCCACTTCTGCCCGGTATGACAGAGGAGGAGAAGGCCAAATTCGCCCAGGTCGAGGCCGAGCTGAACAGTGTCAATGAGAAGAGGGAACTCGAGGCGACTGCAGATGCACAGGCCGAGGTACCTGCTGCTAAGAAGAACAAGACCGTGACCGTGTCATGAGTACCGGTCGTTTGTATATATGGGATATCTGGAGTTAGTCGTTTCTGGCAGTCGTCTTTCTGGAGCGGTTTTACATTTGTTCCGGCCACGGAAAAGTTACAGAGTTTTTCTTTTGGTTTTTTTTTGATACCTGCAGATAGGCCTATGGGCAGTTGGTAGGATATATAGAAATGATGAGCAATGAGCAATGTCAAGACCAGACCGCATTCGTCTTTGTCCATACCAAGTTGTGCGTTGACCGACTGACCGAATCGAGCAAAATACCGACTGACTAACGGACCAACCGCAAGTCACTGCCGCGGCGAAGATGGGCACGTGAGCTTGGACCCTGATACGCGCGCTTTCTTAGGTGGGCCTATGCCGCCCCTCTCTTGACCATCGGGGATCTATCGCCACGTCTCAATCCTCGCTGTTTTTACTCACCCCAGATCGCAATCATGAGCACTGTAGAGACGGTCACTCAGCACCCCGTGATTACTGCGGAAAATGTCCTGCGCCTATTTCCCGAAGTAAACACTTCCCTCATCGGAGGATCGCACAACTCTGCCACAAATGACAATGCGCTGCAAGGTTACGATGAGGAGCAGATACGATTGATGGACGAGGTGTGCATTGTCTTGGACAACGATGACTTGCCCATTGGTAGCGCGACCAAGAAACTGTGTAAGTGTTTGCGCACAGCATAGCCCAAGGCGCAAGGCGATCGAGAACGACCAACTGTGTAACTCTGAGTGGTGCTGATACGGACAGGTCATCTCATGGAGAACATTGACAAAGGTCTCCTCCATCGCGCATTCTCCGTCTTCCTTTTCGATTCCAAAAACCGTCTACTCCTCCAGCAGCGTGCAACCGAAAAAATCACGTTCCCGGACATGTGGACAAACACATGCTGCTCACACCCGCTAGGCATACCTGGAGAGACGGGTGTCGGACTTGAAGAGTCGGTTCAGGGTGTGCGTCGCGCAGCGGTACGCAAGCTCAACCACGAGCTTGGTATCAAGTCCGAGCAGGTGCCCATTGATGACTTCAAGTTTCTTACGCGGATACACTACAAGTCGCCTAGTGACGGCATGTGGGGCGAGCATGAGAGTAAGTTCTTCTGATGTCAAGGGGCAGAACGGTGTTGTGGACGAGTGCTCACAGCCGTTTTAGTTGACTACATCCTGTTTATGAAGGCCGATGTTGACCTCGACATCAACCCCAACGAAGTCCGGGATTCAAAATGGGTATCCCAAGAGGACCTAAAGACCATGTTCCAGGACAAGTCGCTCAAGTTTACACCATGGTTCAAGCTCATCTGTGAGAGCATGCTGTTCGAGTGGTGGAACCACCTTGACTCTGGGCTAGAGAAGTACATGGGAGAGACAGAGATTCGGCGTATGTAAAAGGCAGTGGAGAACTGCGCCCTGCGAAATGCGCAGTGTTGCAAGTGAGCACAGCTACAAACTCCGAGATCAATTGTCCGTGTCGAATCAGTCTAGGGTTCCGCGTTAGACCACGCCGGATTCCGAAGTGAGGCGGCGCATGCATGCAGGCTCGGCCCCCATAGATATCAAGTTTCCGATAATATCCCTATCATCAATGGTTTGAATAGACCCCACGCCAATTATTCATCTGGCTTTATCGTGCGTACATCGGCATTTACTACCCCTCTCTTATCATTGTGTCGTCGCAAGCTTGGTCATGGTTAACCAGCCACTAGCAGCGCCTCTGGCTACTTAGCTTTGGCTAGCAGAATGACTAGCAGCCTAATCTATGCCGATACCAGTCTGATCTTGCGTTGAACTGCTGGGTATAGAGTAATGGAGAGTTTCAATGATCTACCGGGCTGAAGGATGGCTCTAAAGTTGCCTACTCCGGGAGGTCCAGCCGAGGTCAGCGCTACCATGCTTCCTCTTCATCCCCACAGATGCTCACAGTACCTACGCCACTGTCAATGCCACATCACTTGCCCTCCTCATTCCACCGCTGATCACAAGTAAATAACAAAGTAAAGCAATGAGAATGAGCAAATACGTGGACAAATAATGCACGCGTTGAGCCGCATCGGGCCGACATGCAGCTGAAGTCACAAGACGAATGATAACTGGAGAGACGCCTAGTAGCCAGGCAGATGGTTTCGTAATGACTAGATGTCGCTCGGCATATGTGAAGCATGACCTTGGACTCCACCCGAGCATGCTGGGGTGCTGCACAGACGGGGTGGGGGAGATAGCCGTCGAACTATATGAGTATGCTGATGTCCCCCTCATCTCTGGTTCTCGCTGAAGAGGCATTACGTCTACTACCACTGGTGCAAGTCAATCATTGCTCGTCATCTCACGTCAAACACGCCTTGGTGACTACTGCAATACCCCCACGACACACGCCTTCGGCTGCAACCGGACATTCTCACGACACACTGCTGCTGCGGCTCGACGTTGGCCAAGCATCGTACAGCTGTGCTGTCAGTGCTCTTGTGACAGCCCCCCTCAACGAGTAAAAAGCAACGTACACGCCTTGGGCCAGCCATACATCAACGGACACCAATCCACGTACACGGGCTTGATACATCGATAACCCAACACATATACTATCGGTGCAGGAAGATCCCGTCGCTCGGGTCCCCTTTCTACCAGCAACACTGAATTCAAAAGGGAGCTCATCGAGCCTCACCCATTGATGTCGGTTGATCTGCGTCAAGCTTTCACCTCTCTACGCTACCCATCTCGAGTCGAAACTGTCTCGAGATCGCAGCTTTCCAAAGTCCATACAGGAGATTTAAATCGTCCTGCTCATACATAAACACCAACTAGGAAGTCGAGAAAAGGTATACCATAATGGCAGGCAATCTACGGTCAAGGCTCCTGCTCAGCCCACGACGACCTATATCAGCCACAAACCAGACTAATATTATCAATCTAGTAGCGTTGTTTGAACTCAAGGTTTCTTTCTAGACACACTGTGGTTCAAGTGACTAACCAACCTTTCGACGAGCCTGATAACTAGCCCTGCGGGGAACACTTCACGGTGGCTTATTCCACGACTGTCCCAATTACCAAACGAAGCGGCAGATCCCATTTGAATACTAGTAGAAGCTTACCAACGAAACCGCAATCATGGCGAAAACCTTGTCGCCCATTACGCCAGTCAGCTGTAGTCTTGCAGGAGAAGCAAAATCCTCCAACTTGAAGTCTGCCACAATCAGGACCAATGAAGTCCCTACTGGCATCAAGATTGTGAAGCAAAAGCCCACCGCTCCTGCCTTGCCTCCGCTTACGCATGATGTCCGTGTCGTGACCCTTGCCGAGTACAAGCAAGCTGCTCTTTGTCTGGCCGAGGCCTTTAACCAGGATGAGGTAGTCCGGTACTTTGTCGATGTACCTGACCTTGCTCACTGGACTGAAGAGCAAAAGTTTGCTTTGCATGTCGAGATTCTCGAATACATCACGTGTGCTCACATCCTCAAGGGAATGGTGACTACGGTCGGAGACTTTGAAGCAGTTGCGCTGTGGTAAGTCATCGTCATCAACATTGGTACCCCACTCATTGCAAGGATCATCAAAGTTTACATACATTCCAACAGGATGCCGCCAGGCCAGAACATGGATGACTATCTCACCACATTCCGCTCTGGCATGTGGCGTCTGAACTTCCGCCTCTCGGCCGAAGGCAAGCGTCGCTTCTTTGGCGAGTTCATTCCTCTACTCCACGACACGATGCACACCACGCTCGGCGATCGAGAACTCGAGGCCTGGTACTTGGTATACATTGGCACTAGGCCTAGTGGCCGTGGAAAGGGCCATGCTCGCAAGCTCATTGAGCATGTCACGAAGCTGGCGGATCGCGAGGGCAGGCCGTGTTACTTGGAGTCGAGTAACGAGGCCAACCCCGCCATCTACCGCAAGTTTGGCTTCCAAGTGACGAGAAGGGTCAACCTTCAGAGGGGCGGAAAGAATATTCCCATGGATATCATGGTTAGAGAGCCCCAGATGACAGAAGAGAAGAATAGTGGCATGTAAGGTAGTTTTAGTTGGTGGGGTAGGGTTGATCGATCGTGAACAGTAAAGTCACCGGTTCAACAGATGACTTTGGGGGGCGGGTGGTAAGATACAAGCTAGGAGATACTGGCTTATTGTAGTGTCCTTCAACAGGGCCTACCTGGTACTGTTTTTTTTGGCACGCGGATTTCTTTTCGCACATATCTTAGATTACACTCGTTACTGTGGGGTACAAGGAAACAAAGTGGTGACACGATGCTTGTAGCTGTTCCGACTGTTATTTTTTGTGAGTGATGACGTTGTAAGAGATAAATTGAAGGCTCTTGACGCGAGAAGTGTATTGGCATAGTCGAATGGTGTGAGCATGAGGCGTTTCAGCAGCAATTGTGTGGCAGCGTCGCAATGGGAGTCGAGCATGAAGCCGGAAGTGGGGGTATTGAGTCGAGATGAAAATGCCCCGAGATATGTAGTCGCTGACGCGGATCGTAATATATGTCAGTAGCACGTGGTACCGGGGTGCATGGCTTATCATGGCAAAAGCAAAGAAGGGTAAGAAGATTACACGAGAGATTAGCGGTGGAGCTTGGTAGTGGCAGTGCTGGCAGGCTTTACGACAAATTGCGGTGTCATGAAACACGCACTGCCAACGGTATCGCTGACCCAGTTGCCAAACCTGTCGCGTCTTCATCTCCTCGCTCTCCCTGATTGTTCCCCCCTCCCCCTCGTCCACACTGTCGTTATTCGTCCGCTGCCTGCGCCGCTCGTTGTACTCACGCCCGCTGCACTGTTGCACCATTGCAGAACTTTTTTTTGGCTTTCGCCTACGTAGCCTTGCATCCTCATCACCCCTCGTGATCCATCCCCAATTCTTAACCTTTCATCCCGAATCCGCCTAATCGATAAAAAAAGTGGTGTCTCCCCACTCGGTCCGCATCCGCAACGCTACCTAACGCACCCCGCAAGTCTCGCCCAGCAACGCGTCGACAGCCTGCTGAAGCCAATCGTTCGCCTTGCCAGCTCACGCCCAGGAAGACTTTGCTGGAGCCTGCCGTTGCATTCCACGTACCATTCACTTATCGCGCCCCTATCAGCCTGCTTTCGCCCTCCATTATCGCTGATTCTTCTTCTCCTTCTTCCTCTTCTTCTGTTTTTCCTCGTCATGGTCACTCAACGCAGGTACTCAGTTACAGGCCAAACACCACCCGACGACGCCGAAGTCATGAAGGCGCGCTCGCCCAAGCTCCAGTCTCTCGATACCAGCGTCCAAACGCCGCCCTGTGGATACTGTGACGCCGCGGCCGAATTGAGCGCCAGCGGGGATGACGGCGCACCCGAGCAGCGGAGAGGGAGGAAGATGGGCCCCAACGGCACCATTGTACGCACATCGAGCAAACGATCCGCAACCCAGCTGCCCTCGCCCAGCTCGCCCTCACAGCAGCTACCGCAAAAGATTCCGCGGTACCGACTGTGCCATGACGAGCACGCCAACGTTGATATGGACTCGGACACGGACTCGGGTTCGGATGGCACGGACGGGCTGGGCGATGGGAGCGAGCTCGATGACGACCATGGTCTGGAAAGCCGGGCAACGTCTGTCCCTTCAACGCCCGACCATTCACTTGGATGCAGTGCACTGGGTTTGCCCGAGGCCACGCGCCTCGAAGGGCTGCGACTGTATGCGGAAGAGAGACCAGACGACGAGCACATGGAAGACTATGCACTATCACCCCCGCATTCGAGAAACAACAGCGTCAACCGCACGCAGTTTGATGGTGCTAGCGTACTGCAGGCGGAGTGGGCGGCACATATTGCCATGAACAAGGACAAGTCGGAAACGCTCCATATTGAGAATATCGAAAAGATTGAACCCGTCCAAGACATACTAGAAGCCGCCGAGGACATGCGAACCACCCCGACCGATATCGGGCAACCGCTGCCCACCGACACCATGCACGATCCTCTTACCTTTATCACTCTGCCCCCCGAAATCCGCCACCAAATCTACCGGTGCTGCGAAAATCTCGTCGTCGATAAACCACTCGTGTACTGCATCTCGACATTCAACGGCGAGATGCAGCACCCGCTCGCCTCGGTATCGCGGCTGGTGCGGTCGGAAGCGCTGGCAATATTCTACAGCTACAATCTGTGGGTAATCAAGGTGGAATTCCGCATGATGTACGAAGCATTCCGGGACTGGATCATTCGGCTTGGCGAAGGCGCGGGCTTGCTGCGTCTCATCGCCTTGTCAGTGCGGGGCTCGTTGTTCAAGCCCAAGAAGAGCCAGCACGGACAGAGCGTGCTGATTCACGGGCATTTGGTCCAGCTTGCGCCGGGTATCATCGGGCCGGCGGCGCCGGCGCCGGCGGCTTCTTCGCGAGAGGAGCTGTATTGTCCGCCGGATGGCGATGCGAGTTTTAGGATTGATCTGAGTGAGAAGCATGCGGGGGGCATGGTGCAGCTTGTGCGGAATGATGGCACGAGTGAGGCGGGGGAGAAGGCACGCGTGTTTCTTAGTAAGATGGTAGAGGGGCTGTGGGAGAAGAGGAGGGCGGGCACGCTGAATGGACAGGATTGGATCACCATGGTGGATAGTTTTTTGTCGTTTATTGGAGGGTGGTGAGGATGATGGTGATGATGAGAGTTATTGGTTTCAACTGCTGGAATCCTTTTTTTTTTGGAGTGGTTGATCTCTCTCTCTCTCTGTCTCAACGTCTGCTGATGAAGGGAAGTGGGAAGAGGAAGAGGAAGTAAAAACAAAACGAGGTGTATTTGGAGGGATTGGACGATATTTCGAGGGGGGGGGCAATCTTTTTGATATGGTTCTTTTTTTTTGGGGGGGGGGAGGTTTCAATCATCTTCGGAGTATAATGTTAATGATTCGCGGGTTGGGAGAAATTTTTATAGGTAAGTACATGACCAAGCGGATATAAGCCTTTTTTTTTCTTCTTAATTCTCTGTTATTTTTGGTAATCTCAAAGGAAGGGGGGGGGAAGTTGTTGCATGTTCGTTTTGTCTGTTTTATATCTCTGTCTTTGCCTTTTTAAACAAGTTTTGTTGGATTGTGTTTTTTCTTTCTTTCTTTCTCTTTGCAAGTTAAAGCAAGTTAAATAGTTTTGTTTTTTTTTTCAAGTTCGCGATAATATATATACCCCCTTTTTTTTCTCTCCTCTTCCTCTTCTCATGTCCTTTTGCAATTTACCTTACTTGTGCACCGTGTATACCTTATTTGGCCCCTCTGCCCCCTCCCCCCCTTTTAAAAAATTGGACTTGGGTAATGTTGTTGGTCCAATGAGAAAGACGTGTGTACGGACGGTATTTTGAGTAAAGCAGGCCGATTAAAGGGGTGGAGGGGGGAGTAAGGCGCTCCTTGTCTCTGTCTCTCTCTCTCTCTCTCTCGGGGAAGACGGGTAGACGGGTAGACGGGATAGGATGTGTGATTTGCAAAAAAAAAAAGGGACAAACAGGCCATTGTGCAAGTGGAGCATTCCGGGGTTCCGGGGGTTGGGAAGGGGGCCGCATCCGGACATTTTCTCACCCCTCTCTGGTAGCGGCACCGGGGGTACGTGCACGATTGTTATTTGTACGAATAAACCCCACAAGTAATTCACTACTTTCTGTTTTTACAACTAGAAAAGAACGGAATGCGATAGCTATATTTCTGTTCCACTGTGATATGCCTTTTTTTCTCTTCTATATCTTCTAATTGCTTTCGCGTTCCGCGTAAACGCGCGTCGTCGTCGTCAACAAAACAATGCACCTCCTACTCACGCTCTCGCTCGTGGTGGGCGCGCTAACCACGCTCTTCTACACGCTCGAGTCACGTCTCGAGTCCTTCTACATCTTCACGCCGTCGGCGCTGCACGCCCTCAGTCTCTCGGCCATTGAGCGCCACGGCAACGACACCGCCGCCGTCGTGTCCTACATTGTCGATTCGCTGGCCGTCTCGCACCCGCAGTATGTCAATCTCGATGAGGAGTGGGTGTTTAACAATGCGGGGGGCGCAATGGGCGCCATGTATATTATACATGCGAGTGTGACCGAGTATCTGATTGTGTTTGGGACGCCGGTCGGGACTGAGGGACATACGGGACGGCATACTGCGGATGATTATTTTCATATTCTCAAGGGCGAGCAGTTGGCGTATGCGCCGGGCAAGGGGGTTTATGAGGCGGAGAGGTGAGTTTGACTTCCTGTTGTTGCTATTTGTCGCCGGTTTTCCTCGTAAGGAAGGAGCATCTCTTCGAACTGCTTGTTAGTATGAAATGGTTTTTCTGACGAATAACGGGGAAATAGGTATCCACAGGGTAGCGTGCATCATCTACGCCGGGGCGAAGTGAAGCAGTACAAGATGGATGGAGAGTGCTTTGCGCTCGAGTATGCAAGGGGATGGATTCCACCCATGTTGGGATTTGGATATGCTGATAGTAAGTTTCTTCCTTGGCTAACTTGCCGTTCTTTCCCCCTATGTCCAAGGACTGGGCATAGGAGGAATAAACTTTTTTTGAGAAAGTTGTGGCTGACTCTTTGGTTTCTGTTGATAGCTTTTACGAGTACCTTGGATTTCCCGACCTTGTGGCGCACGACGGTGATTACGGGACGCGAGATGATCGCTAATTTGCTCAAGGGGAAATTGTAGCAAGGCTTGTGTCTTGGCTACCAAGGCAGGGGGTGAGAGAGAGAAAGCGAGGACTTGGTTGTGGGAGTAGGTGGATATTTGGGTGGAAGAAAAGACAGGCAGTGCGCGTGTGTATAAAAACACGGGTAAATCAAGCTGCGTAAACGCCAGATTGTGTCTACTGGTTTATTTCAATCCATAGGCCGTAATGACGAGAAGAGAAGGACGTAATATTCAATATATTGGAGCGATGCTATTTAAACTTTGAGCCGCGAGGCGATTACCAGATGCGTCAGAAACAAGCTTTTCCCATGCTGCCGGCTCGCGCGATTTTAACTTTCGCCGCGCAACGTTTATTTGAGCGAGCAAAAAAGGAAGCGCATCATGGAGAACGCATCAGGGCTCTCGACCTGGGCCTAGATCTGGTACAAGCGAGTGAGAACGATAGCGGGGTCTGCAGATGGCTACGGTTGAAACGTCTGTGCCAGAGGCATCCGCAGCATCCGATTCTGGCGGTGGTGGCACGACTCGGGATGTTGCTATAATAGGGTACAGGGAGCTGAATGGTTGGACGGGCGGACGGCACTAGTGGACATGGTGAAGCAGCGCGTATCCGAACAAAAAGGGCTGGAGCAAGGCATGGGAGGGAATGTTCGTCCGGGGTCTTGGATATGCGGGTGCGAGGTGTAAGTAGAGTACGCAGGTGGGAGGGAAAACAGGAAGAAGATGATGCTGGTGATGATATCAAGCGGTCATGACCAAGAGAGACGGCCTACCAGAAGCTGGTGGCTGGTGGCCGGTGGCTGGTGGCTAAAGCGGAAAGTGCAAAGCGCAGCGTGGAAGGTGGGGGGTGACTGCAGCCGGAAGGAGCGAGTGGTGCATGAGCAGGAACAGGGCTAGGCAATAAAATCAAGCCTTTCCCGCCCGCTTGGGAAACACAACCAAGGCAGCGCGCGCTCCACGACGAGAGAGGGGGGCAGCCTGCGAACAAGACAGGACGAAAAAAAAAACTCTACTGCACACATGCTCGCAGAGCCGCCGGCGGAGCAGACACGGAGCCCACGACATCAAGCAGGCTGGGTGCCGGCCATGCAAGCACCAAGCAGCAGGCAGATCAGGGCAGATGGCGCGTCAGATTTGGCGGCTCTGCAGATGGTCCACCATGTCGCCCAGAGCTGACGCGGATTTTTCGTCTCTTCGCCAGCACAACGCGCAACACGACTACTCGGGGCCCACTTGGCCGGCGTCTCGCACTGGGTCTCCCTCCTCCGCTGCTGTTTCGGCCGGCGTCAAGCAGGGCGCGTCGTGATGTCATGCTCGTCCAAGGCGGTACTCTCTGGCTTGGGCCCGGCGTCGCGGCTCGTTCCAGCTTGGGGGTGACGCATGTCAAGTGCAATCAAGCGCAATCAAGCGCCTTCACAGCCCTCCTCCATCCGCTTACCTGCTTGCATCCAAACATCCTCCCTCTTGCTCTGATAAGCTTGCCCGTCCGCCCCCGGCCTCCCGCCTGCCCGTCCGCCCGCTTCTGTCTTGCATGCCTCCTGCCTCCCTCCTGGCCGCCCGCACTTCACCCTCGACTCTTGAACATTTACCCTGTGGCCCCCCAGTCTCCCCCGCTGCTGTCTTTCGTTTTTTGCGCGCTTGTCCCTTCGTCCACGACCACCGTCCGCTCGTTGGCTGCCACTGAGGCCCTTGGTCCCACGCTGTGACCATGCTTTCCCCAAGATCCACAGCCACCACCCTCGCAGTGGCCATCCTCTCGCTCCCCGCCGCCAGAGCCCAGTCCCTATCCATATCGCCCAACGCAAAGGCCCCCAAGGATGCCTCCGACTACCTCAACCCTTCGTTTGCCGGCTTTGGCATCGAGCCCTCCAACCTGTTTTCCTTCACTGGCGCCGACCAGACTAACCAGTTTTCCGTCAAACTCCTCCAGAACCTCGCAGACTATTCCGGCGCCCCTCCTCACATCCGCCTCGGAGGAAACACGCAGGATTACATGCTTTTCGAGGCAGACAACCAAGGCTTCGCATGGATCGCCAACAAGAAGTCAACTGCACAGGGCACCAAGGCTGCCGACTCGATGATTATTGGTCCCAACTATTTCACTGCCCTGGACCGCTTCCCCAAGGATACCCCCGTCACCTTCGGCCTCAACATGGCTTACATGGAAAGCGACTGGGAGACCCGCATCGCCGCCATGGCACAGGCCGCTGTTGACGGGATGAAAAATGTCAAGTTGTACTCGTTCGAGGTTGGCAACGAGCCCGACCTGTGGCTGCAAAACCTGTTCCGCTCTGGCGCATGGACCGGAGACACATACACGACCCAATGGCTCGACCGCTGTGAAGTTGTCTACGAGCAAGTGCTCAAGAATGCTAGCCTCCCTTCGTCCTTTTTCGAAGCTCCTGCAACTGCCTCTACCATCGGCACCACCTTTGAGATTGCCCAGCTGGTCGACGATGGCATCATGGAAGGCAGGAACGGCAACAACTTCCTCGCTACCTGGAACCAGCACGACTACTACTATTGTATGCCAACATGTCCCCCATCTAGCCACCAGCCATGTTAACAGTTTACAGTTATTGGCGTTACACCCACTCCTCTTACTCTGGATGAATTAATGGATCTCGACACCACTAACGTCCAGTTCAAGTACTGGGAGAAGCAAGTTGGCATCGCCTTGAAAACCGGCCTCCCCTATGTCCTACGTGAGATGAGCTCCGTAGGCCCTATTGGTATGCCCTTTGTCAGCGATGTTTTTGGCGCTGCCCTCTGGACCATGAACTTTTTCCTCTACGCCGCTTCCATCGGCATCTCTTCTGTACAAATGCACATGACCGACAACTCAAACGCCAGTGCTTGGCAACCTATTCCCATGTATGGCCACGACACTAGCTTCGTCCGTCCTCAATACTACGCTCACGCTGCCATTGCCCAAATCATTGGTAACGGCAACGGAACTACCCAGATCAATGCCGAAAGCACAAGCGATGTTGGTGCTGGCTACGACGGTCGCATCCGCGTTTATAGCGCCTACGCAAATGACAAGCTGCAGTCTGTCACCATGATCAATGCCAAGCAAGTCAATGCTTCTACTTCAACCAAGGGCAGCTTTACATTCAACCTCAACCTTGGCTCTGACAATGCAAACAAGGACGTCTTTATCTCGTATCTGACCGCCCCTGGCGCCGATTCTCAAACTAACGTTACTTGGAATGGCATGCAGTACGATGACATTACCGGCGAATCTTCTGTTGTTGACAGTACCGTTGTCGTCACCACCGCCGATGGCTCCGGCAAGATTACTGTCCCTGTCCGGGATAGTGAGGCTGTCGTTGCCAACATTGGCAATCAGCTGGGTGTCAATGCTGTAATCAAGCCAGACGGCACACAGTCCAAGAAGAGTAGTGCTGCTTCGAGGTCTGTCAGCAGCGCTGGTTTCGCTGCTACTACCGGCATGCTGGTTGTGTTGGTCGGTTTGGCGCTGGCATAATGAGTGGTGTGGGCTAATTGCTCCAATCGTGTACGACTTTTCCCTTGACTATCCGTCTCTCCTTTTTTTCCTCTCCATCTCTCTCTATCCATTTCCTTATCTCTCTCTCTCTCTCTCTCTCTCTCTCTCTCTCTCTCTCATCACAAGACTTGCATCATGGACCTTGCATATGCATTATGACTGGCGTTTTCTTTGGGTTTTGGTTTCGGGGTTTCCGGGGATATTTCTATTGGCGCTATTGTTGTTCAGACAAAAAGACAACTTGGATTAATGGGTTATCAATCGGAAAGGGCGTGTAGTAATAAGGCGCGTAGAGTTGTGTACGTACATAGATATAGAGTACGTTGACATGTTGCGTGTGAGACGTGTCAGGTGTACGCACTCATATGGCAGATGTGTAACAGTGTCAACCGAATGTGCACTTGTACATGTCATTTTTTTGTCTCTTGGAGATGATTACAATATATCCATTTAAAGTTGATTGTCCATGTCCAGTGGGTGTGAATACCGTCCAAAAAGCCAAAAATCACATCCAAATATACGAACATGTTACGAATGTGTTTGCTGTGCCAGGTATAATACCATAAGATTTTGTTCCCAGTGCACTGAGTAGCCTATGTAGCCTATTGGTTTCCTACTTGGTTTTTAAAGTCTGGCTTCTTTGCAAATATGTGCGTAACCTGATTGGTATCTTGGAAGGAATTAGATACGACTCCAGTCTTGGAACGACGCTGCAGAGAGATCTGGCTTTGGCTATGTATTATTCTGGCTTTTCTGGCCGTCGGCTTTATCTTGTCTATTTGCTCTTTCTTCTCTTTGATGTAAGGAAAAGCCCTCTCCGACTACTCTTAGCTGACACTTCTCACGTGGTCTATCGCCAGTCAAAGAATGACATTCCCACGCTAACATCCTAGTAGAATCGATAGGACGAACAGTAGTAGAGATCCCGGGACTATTGATTCCATCCCGAGCACACCATACAAGCGGGGTAAAAACCACGGGCGATCAGCAACGGTTATCGGGATCGGATAGTCGGTCTTGGCAACCCTGCTACTCGATCCTATCGCAACACAACCACCCACTACTCTACTCTTACCACCAGACGTGAAACACATCAAGACCTCCTATACCCAAAATGGCAATTTTTCCAAAACATCCATGTTCTCGTCAACACACCCCCAGCAAATGAGTCAGGCCTGACGTAATCCCACTCCTCCATGCTCGGCGCCTTCACAATGACATCATAGCATCTCCAAAAAATTTCCCCCCCTGGTTCCACCGACACCTCACGTGCGATCAAATGTGCCCTGTGCCGGCGATCCGAAAGTCTCACTATGGAGTAAGAAGCTGATGACGAATGATGCGTATCTTGTTTTTTCTACAGCAGGTTGATAGGGGTCACGAGCTGCTGCACTTCTGTTATCTGATGCGTGAGAGCACCACTACTTTGACAACTTAATTTTTTGTGTTTGGCTTTTTTTTTTTCGCCGCGTGAGGTTTGGTTCCTTGCTGTCAGCAACCATGAGATTTCGCGATAAAAGGCACCACCAATACAAGGATGATAAGGATAACGAGAAGCCTCCAGAGCAGGTGGGCCTTCGTGATCGCCTTGCTCACTTCACATGGTGTGTGTGTTTGTGTTTTTGACGTTACCCCCCCTTCCCCTTGGAAAGAAAAAAACTTGGCTTCGGAAAAGTAGGCTGACAAAAGATATATTTAGGCCATGGTTCGCGTGCACAATGTCTACAGGATCCCTGGCTGTCGTGTTAGGAAATACGCCAAACAAATTTACCGGGCTACAAACAATCGGCAAGGTCGTCTTCATCTTCGATCTGGTCCTCTTTGTCCTGTTCAGTCTATGCATGCTCACCCGTTTCCTGCTTGTTCCCCGGAAGCTGCTCGGGTCCCTGCATCATCCGGTTGAAGGTCTTTTCTTCGGCACCTACTGGGTGTCCCTCGCGCTGATTCTGAATTGCACGTACATCTACGGTAACTCGGCGACTGGGCCGTGGCTGGCCAAGGGACTCGAAGTGACGTACTGGATGTACTGTGCTGCAGCGTTTCTTGTCGGGCTGTTGCAGTATTCCATGTTTTTCCGTCTTGAGCGGCTCAACGTCGCTGATGCTGTTCCCGCTTGGATCTTTCCTATTTACCCTCTGCTTGTAGTGGGAACGCTAGCTGGGACTATATTGCCAGGTCAGCCTCCGGATGCGAGCTGGAAGATTTTCGTTAGTGCCATCATGTTCAAGGGACTTGCGTGGTTGGTGTCGTTCTTGCTATATGGTCTTTATATGCAGCGTCTTATGACGAATGCTTTGCCATCTCCATCTACCAGACCGGGTATGTTCGTTTCTGTTGGGCCAGCAGGTAAGTCTTTTACTCTTCGCACTAAAAAATTGACTACCGTCGTCATTGTGTTAATACTTTTAGGCTACACTGCTGCTGGACTCCTTTCTCTCGCGAACCAAGCACCCAACCAAGTCCCAGCAAACTACTTGACGAGCATATCTGTTCCAGACGGCGAAATCTTGCGCATCATCGGCATCGTCGCTGGTCTTTTCGTTGTACTCTTCGCCTACTGGTTCTTCCTCGTCACAACCATCGCCGTCATAGTCGGAGCCCGCAACATGTCTTTTACGCTAAACTGGTGGGCTTTCATTTTCCCAAATGCCGGACTCACGCTTGCGACGATACAGGCAGGGAAGGTGCTGAAGAGTGAAGCTATTAATGGCGTGGCGAGCGCACTGACTCTATTGCTTGTGATCATGTGGCTTATGACAGCCGTGTTCTGTGCTCGCGCACTGTTCCTCGGACAGATCATGTGGCCTGGCAAGGACGAGGATAAAACTATGGTTGATGTACCTTGGGGCTGGAGGGGTAATAAGGGAGATGCTGGAGCTAGCAAGGTTAGGCCAGCCCGACTAGATGACGATGTCTAAGTTTTGGATATATGAGCGTGGCATTAGCGAGGAGTATAGGCGCTTTGAACCCCAGGAACATCATGCTATGTCGTAACAGTGGGAATTATTTTGATGCACTTGATATTTTTTTGTATAACATGCCTGAACAGAGCGGAGATTGAGTTCTCGCGGCTTTTATAGCTTTTGTTTCATGACGTAACTTGGAACCTTAGTTTCCCTCAACTGGAAAGCCCCGTAATCAAATCTATAGTAGTAATGCCATTTTCTTTTTTGCTCTTATCACAACCTTTTGTTATTGGGGAGTGTGACATCAAGACCATTTGAGCAAATTAACATCACACTCTAGCTTGGTAAAACTTTCTCACGGATACTCCCGTCTCACACCCGCTGTTAGCACTGAAGCATAGTGAGCAACGGGGGGCCAAAACGACATGAAAGCCAACTTAACTCGGGTCTAATGTCCTTCTTTCCCCGCAAACCATGTCAGCGCTTTGCTGGTGTGTACCCAGTACATTCTTAACGTTTATCAAAGCCATGTTCAGAACCTCACTGGGTCTTATCTTTGCTCCCCTCTCTCACTCTCATGCTAACTACTAAGAGTTGTTACAAAGTTTGGTCACGCTAGTTGTTACCCTGTTTCTTCGCTGGCGCCGCCTACAGTACCGCTTCCTGGAAAAAGCAAAACATACGGTTCCTTGTCATCATATGATCTCAAGTTGTACCTGATATTGTTAAAGGTAATTCGGGGGATGTAATTGGGTATTGTGTTGGTTCGGGCGCACCCGGTACCGCGGGAAAGAGTATGGTTTGGAATGGTCATGCTTTGACGAAAAGGGGACTACCGGCGGAGGGTTGGCGGAAGTTCTTGGATGCATTTCTTGGCATTTACAGAGGTGCCTTTCAAAAGTCCTTGCTGGCAGGGATCATCTGTATTACTACCGAAGCTTGGTCCGATCCGTCCCGCCGCCCCTCCTTGTACTC